GAGCTGGAGGGGATGGGAACTCCACAAGGAGAGCAACAGAACAAGATAATTTGAACACAGGGAACTTCCCAGAGACTCATACTCCAACCAAGGACTATTCGTGGAGATGACCTGGAACCCCTGCACAGGTGTAGCCCATGGCAGTTCAGTGTCCAAGTGGGTTACATAGTAATGGGAAGAGGGACTGCCTCTGACATAATCTGATTGGCCTGCTCATTGATCACTTCCCCCTGAGGGGGGAGCAGCCTTATCAGGCCACAGTAGAGGACAATGCAGCCACTTTTGATGAGAACTGATAGACTAAGATCAGAAAGAAGAGGAGAACCTCCCCTATCAGTGGACTTGGGGAGTGGCATGCATGCAGAAAGGGGAGGGAGGGTGGGATCGGGAGGGGAGGAGGGAGGGGCTTATGGGGGGATACAAAATGAATAAAGTGTAATTAATAAAAAATTAAAAAAATTAAAAAAAATAATAAAAAAAAGAAATACTATATAAAAGTTGTGTCTTGTTGGTGATTTTTTGAAACTACTTTATTTGGGGTTCATTATGCCTCTACCTCCCTTCCAACCCCTTAACCCTAGGTAGGACAGAAAGAAGGTTAGAAGGGGCAGGGGGCATAGACATCTTTAGACTTAATTCCAGCTGGGTAGGGTTGTTGAGTTCTTTTGGGGTAATACCAGTCTCAGTCATCAGGATATCCATACGTCCAGGTAACCAGCAAACTGCAAACAGCAGCAGCAGAACAAACAAGCAGCCTTCTTCCTCCTTCATTAATCTCTCTGAAGGATTTTCTTTGTCCATCTCCTCAAACCCCTCTCTATAACCATCCATCTCCTCGAACTGCTTGTTCTCTTCCTCTGGGATCTCACATTTACACTCCTGCAGGGTACTCAAATTTCACTAACTCCAGCTTGCAAAAATCACATTGCACGAGGCTGTTACTAGCTGGCAAAGACTATGCCCAACACCTGTGGTCAAGCTAAAAGCAACTACACATCCCACATTTGAGATGAAAAAAAAAAATATCTGCTTACATAACATAACTGAGTTTTTAAAGAAACGAAAACTTCCACTACAGTGTCTGCTCAGTTCCTTGCTGTCCTCTCCTGGGATCAGGGGCAGCCAACACTGGATTTGTCTCTTCTGTCTTGGATTCATCACTCCAATAAATCTCTTTTAAGAGATTTACTGCATGGTGTGACTCTCTCATTGGAAGAAGCAGTCAAGAAGAAAAGAAAGAAGCAGTGAAGAAGGAGCAGAGATCAGGCTTCTAAGCTCCTGAGCTCATCAGGGCTTAGGAGTTGGGCTCCCTTCCCTGGGAGCTGCATTGGCGAGAGAAGTGCTGCTGAGGCTCCTAAGCAACTCAGCTCATCAGTAATGGGCTAACCCTCCATTGGGGGCTGCACTGGCTGGAGAAGGAGATTTCCAGGGGCCTCTATTGTCCTAGTTTTCTAGCTTGTATCAGAGATGCTCCCTATTCCAGTTCTCTCTTCCCATACTCTCTACTCTGCCCGCTCTACTTAATCCCTCCTGCTTCCTATCACCACTCCATTCCTTCCCACCCTCCCTCCACACCCTTGTGCACTGTATTTCCCCTTCTCCATGAGATTCAAGCGTTACCCCGTGGGTCCTCCTTGTTACTTAGCTTCTTTGGGTCTGTGGACTGTAGCATGGTTATCATACCTGTTTTCTTTGCTGGAATAAGAACTAACTTATGTTATTTGCTTTGTATATTTTTGCAACTTTTGTATATTATAAAAATCAAGGTATAAAACACTTTGTTGCAATTGTTCTGATAAGCAAAAGTCACTTTAAAAATTTTATTTAACCTATGAGTGTGTACCCACATGTATCTTTGTGTAATGTGTGTGTAGCACCTGCAGAAACCAGAAAAAGGTTTCAAATCCTCTGGAACTAGACTTACAGAATGTTGTGAGCAATGATGTGTTGAGAATTGAACCTAGATATTTTGGAACTATGTATGTTTTCAGTATGATTCCAGTCTTAACCATGGAGCAGTGTCTCCAGCCACCAATTACTTTTGACATTAGTGTGGGAAGCAGAAGTTCTTTCTCAAGCTGCGGAAAGCTGCTTGCCTGGCAAGCTTGCTTTGTTCAGTAAAAAATGTGCTGCCTTTACCTTGAAAGAGAAATAAGCAGGAGGTTTTGCCAAGTTTCTTTAACTTGTCTGTGAGACCTTGGACCATGTCCGCCTTATAGGAATGTGGTCTTTGAAAACAAGCTTAAATGTTTTATGAACCCTGTCCTTGGATCAATGTCAACTGTGTTTCTCTTGTCTTTAAAAAGGAATTGGAAAATAAACTTGGTGCTTTCAGCATTGACAGCCCTCTCAAAACTATCCTAAGTTTTCTGTCTCTTCCTCTTGACCTGTAATTTCTCAATCCCCACTCTCTCCGTCATGTTCTGAATTACCTACAGCTGGTTCCATCACACTATCCCACAGTCCAACTTAGATTACATATTTCCTTCCACTCTGACATAGCAAACTATTTTCCTACTATTCCACAAAGAAAGAAAAATGTCATTTCAGCAAGTTTTCTTCTAAAGCAATTCAAATATCATGTTACATAAACTCAGCAAATGCTTGCACCCCAGCATGGAAATCAGCTCTGTTCTCGACCCACTTTCCCAACTCACCTGTCCAAAGTATTCTCCCAGATAGAGGCAGAAGAAGACTATCTTAGGGCTATCATTACTGTGAAGAAACAATACAACCAAGTCAACTTTTATAAAAGAAAGTATTTAATCAGGAGCTTGCTTACAGCTTCAAAAGACATCACCATTATGATGGGGAACATGGTGGCAGGCAGGTAGGCATAGTGCTGGAGAAGTAACTGAGTGACACACCTGCATCTAACTCTGCCTAAAGTTCACACATAAATCTAATTAAGATATTCACACATGTTAATCAATAACTAGCTAGTTACATTTTTGTGTGTGTGTGATCATTTTCATTTAAAAAGCACAAAAAAACCCCAGAATGTTCACAAGTAACAACCTAAATATTTGTACTTAGTTTTAAATTTAAACAGTAATTGTCAGTTACTGAATTGTGGCTATGTGCCAGTCATGGGTTCAGCTAACCTTCCTAATCTAGAGATAGGTGGCATGGGTAATACAGAAGTGGAAGAGGTTAACTGGCTTTTCTAAACGTCATAAGAGTGGAGCAAGAACATAAGCCAAAGTTGCATCCAGACAATGCCCCAGCTACTCACCTAACACAGGGTACCTCCCTGTAGCTGAGCAGTCTGTCTTTGCTCATAACCTGGCAATCAAATGCAAGTTGATATTTTGTGCTGACTTGTTACTCTTTTTCCCATCACCTCATGAAAACATACCTCTCTGATGTAAGAAATATAAAAATTAACATTTATATAAAACTTGTTTTCATGATGCATGCACTTCATTTATGTTGAAATAAGTAAAACATCAAATACAAATAAGTGCCCCCACCAAAAAATCCAAAGGCTTTAAATTCTCTGTTCAATGATAACAAAAGTGAGAGGTCAGGATATAATGTTCAGAATCATATTTTATTAATTCAAAGTTCAAATCCAGTTCTTAAATTTTGTAGAAAAGTTGAGGTATCTTTTAAAAAATATTTAAAAACATATTAGGTTTTATAAAATTAAAATTTGACCAAAGGATATTGGGGTTTTGGCTATAAAGAATTATGCCACAATTCACTTCCAAGCACATTTAAATTATAAAATTTCTGTAATTATTAATAAGCTATGTCTTAATAAAAGGAAAGTATTCTGTGGAATATTAGCTGTAGCTTCTGATTTTGTTAGAGGATTAGTCATGTGGCAAACTTCTGAAAAACACATATTAAAGGTAGCAGTTATGATATTTTTAATTACTTTAATTAGAAAAACAAAGGTTTCTAATTGGTGTCATAAGGCAAGAGTATAACAATTCTACACGTTAGCAGTAATACAGATTTTTAAAAATCTTTATAGCTTAGTCCAAACTAGAAAATTAACTATTATTATTATTATTATTATTATTATTATTATTATTATTATTGCTGCTCATTCTTGGGACTCAGACACATTCGGAAAAATATATTTGTAAAAATAAAATGGCAAACTCAGTCCTGCCACTTAGGTCTTAACATCTCACACTTACCAATTTCTGCATAAGAATAGTTGAGTGATTTTTTTTTCCCTGTCCATTTCATCATGAAACATCATGAAAATAGTATTAATTTCCTGAGACAGGGTTTCTCTGTGTAGCCCTGGCTGTCCTGGAACTCACTCAGTAGGCCAGGCTGGCCTTGAACTCACATAGAATGGCCTGCTTCTTGCCTCCAGCATGCTGGAAAATAATATTTTCTTAAAATCAAGAGCTACCAAGTCAAAATATTAGAAACATCTCGGGCAATAAAACTGAGTAAACAGAAACAACACACACAACTGCTTCAGCTCTTCAAGAGACCTTTCCATCACTTTTACTCATTTGGCATCTTTTACATTACTTCTAAACCATGTTTCAGAAGTCCTTTGAGTAAGGAAGAAAACAAAACCTCTAGATCTAATAAATCTCAAACAAGTTTCAAATAATAGAAACTACAAATATGTCGATAAATCCAACAAAAAGGAGCTTATTTCAGGACAAAGGTGTGCTGGGCTAAGCACACACATTATCTGAAATACTCTTAATTGTTGCTTGAGCACCGATGAGGTACAATTTTGAATTTCAGAAATCAGAACTTTACACTTGAAAGGAAAGGTAGAATTCCAATTTCCTGAAAGAATTCTGTTGTTGGTATTTACCCATGGAAATTAGTAGATCAGTCTTTTCCTAGATTTTGAAGAGAGCTATCTTGATTCTAAAGTATATTCTCCTGAGAAGCAAACATTATTCAGTATAACACATTGAGGAGAAAAAGCACATGAACAAATTTTAGTTTGTGTGTGTATGTGAGCAATCTGACAAATAAAAATATGCAAGTAAAATAAAAATATCCTCAAGAAACAAGTAAAAAGTAAAAGTTTAATACAAAAAACCTATTTACTTACAATCCACATACACATTGTTTTTCCAAATGCACATTTTAAAATTACAAATAAAATATGAGGATCAATATAAAGTTGTTTCACAACAGAGACCCAAAGCATTTTTGCCTAAAGAAAAGTGTTGCAGAATACAAAGAATTACCTTTGCACTTCTGTTTGGTGATGCAAAGCTGTGCTTTATTCTTTTTTCCTACTGAGAACTTATTTACAAGGGATGACTGACAAGACAAAATACACATAATTAATTTTTGATAGTGATGAACAACAGTAAAATATATTAGTGGTACTTTCTATTTCCTCATGTCTCTTCTTTACTATACAGTATGATAAATGAGGAATCTATATGTAATTCAGATCTTTTATCCTGAAAAAAAAGGCTTGACAATTGGGACCACTACCATGAATCTTCACAAAGAGTCATCTTTATTCTTTGGAAGAATTTACTTGTCACAGCAATTTGTATTACAATTTATTCACTTTATATCCCAGCTGTAGCCCCTTCCATCTGACACTAGCCTATCAGGTCTCATCAGGTCTGGCTGCACTGTCTTCCTCTGAGGCCTGTTAAGACTGCCTCCCCCAAACATACTAAAATCTGTACACCTAAAGAAGCTAAGCAAGGAGGACCCTGGGTAAGATGATTATTCCTCATTCAGAAAGAAAATGGGATAGATATCGAAAGAGGGAAAAAACAGGGAACAGGACAGGAGCCACCACAGAGGGCCTCTGAAAGACTCTACCCAAACTTTGGGCAGAGTGCAGGGAATCCTATGAAAGAAGGTGGGGGAGATGAAAGACCTGAAAGCAACAGGGCTTCCACAAGGAGAGCAATAGAACCAAAAAATATGGGCCCAGGGGTCTTTTCTGAGACTGATACTCCAACCAAGGACCATACATGAAGATAACCTAGAACCCCTGCACAGATGTAGCCCATGGCAGCTCAATCTCCAAGTGGGTTCCCTAGTAAAGGGAACAGGGGCTGTCTCTGACATGAACTCATTGGCTAGCTCTTTGGTCACAGTAACTTTTAACAGTGCTTATCTCCAGTTTCCATTTGAGAATACCCTTTTTTCCCCCTGAAATTCCCTATAACTACATATTTATACCATTATCAATAAAGTTAACAATGGGTGATTAAATATTAAAAATGGGTTCTTTTGAATATGAAAAAAATTGAACAGAGATTATGATTAGTAATTCTCTAGCTCTACAGATATACAAATTTCAGTTCAGTGTTGATTAGTATTGCATCAGAGACCAGAAACTCCCCTGGTAACCAAAGCAGAAGCCCCAAGCAACTGCAGTGTTAAAACTACAAACCATGTCTATAAATGCTCAGTGGATCCTTTAAGCAAACACTAAAGTATTCAAAGAATAGGACCTAAACATTGCCTAATAAAAATTCTGAAATTAGCTAAAATGAAGGCCTCAAAATTAACCAACGGATCTGTAGTAAACATATTATCAAAAAATAACTACTCTTAGGCACGACTGCATTCTGAAGAAAGATGAGAGGTCATGATTCTCAAGGAAGCAAAGGTGAGAGGCTAATTAGAGAAGGGAACTATCTCTCTCTCTCTGTTCATGACATCATGTTGATTATATCACTGACCTGTTACAGCCTCTCACAATAGAGATGTGGCAGTAAATTTTAAATTATTAGTTTACATATCTCAAAAACATAATTTCTATTACTTCTGAATGCCTTAATAGAAATATTAGAAGTAATGTCAGGCTATACAATAAAAATGAAAACAAAACAAAACATTAGGCTGCTTTGGCTAAAAGCAAGATGTACTAAGAGGGCCTCTTCTTCCTGCAGTGGTGGACACTGTGCGCCACAACAGGGGCTGAAGCCACCACTCCCACATACCTTGGTCATTTTGTGAAGGTCAATTATAAGATTCTTCCCCCACTTCATGGGACCATATGCCAATATCATAATAATGCAATGGAGTATAAGTAAAAAAGTAACATTTCTCCTTTAAAAATAACTAGTAAAATAAAATCACTATGCTATATATAAAATCACTACTTCTAAACTCAAATCTTAAATTTGATACATGGAAAAGTTATGAGTTTCTCTTAAAATGTCTAAATTTTAAAGACTTAATCTGTTTATATAAATTTTATCCAAAATATAGGAGAATTGATATAGTAGTTGAAAGTACTATTTCTCTTTGCAAAACACACATCTTCCACATTAATGGTCAAGTTAATATTGTGTCCAAGTTTGTCATAAAAGATGCACACAGAGGAGTGTGCACAAAATGGGCATCTAAAAGGTAGCTGATACAATGATCTAGCTTTGTTCTGGACACACTCTTCATCTCTTTGTTCCAAACATCTTTCCACTTATGGAAGGATTACTTTAATTCATGCAGTTGTCATTAGCAAAATACAAAGAACACGTTCTCTTCTGTAAATAGATCATGATTAAATCTCTAAATTCAATAAATATTTAATAATTTGAAGTCCTATCAAATATTTTTTATCTGTGAAATCTCAATCTTTCTTCTTTTCTAATACATCCTTGGGCTCTTGCACAGTAGACACTAGAGACCCTCCACCGCTGGACTCCTGCTCTTTGTTTTCTTCTACTTGCTCCTGGTTTTCCATTTCGCTTTTGGACACTTCATATCGCTCTTCTATATAGCCTCCATCTGTGTCAGCTGTGTAGATTCCATAGCACATGATACTGATGACACCCAGCGGCAGGCCGAAGAGAAAGCAGCCCATAATTGGAGAGCTCTTGAATATAGACTGTGGGGAGACAATTCAGTTGCACTTGAATGGAACGCTGACATAAATAGCATATGTAAATTTAAGGCCACAACAAATTTCCTCTTGATGCTATTGAACTCAGTTTCAATGAATAAATGTCAATACCTGATCAAGACCAACTATGTTAAAGACTCCACAAATAAAAACTTTATGCTCATACATGTGCATTGGCAATAGGAAAAGGAATCAACTAGCCTGAGTATTTTAAAGACTCTTTTTTTCTCTCTCTCATATTTCCCAGCAACATCTCTTAGATGATTACTGTCTACTGTGTTGAACTCTAGGAAGTTGCTTGGGGTTCTTTCTGACAAAGAGTTTATAAACGCTCTTATTATTTTTATTTTTTAAATATTTACATTATATGTGTGTAAGTGCTTGGAGACCAGGGATATCAGGTCTCCTATAGCATGGAGTTATAGGAAGTTGTGAGTTAGGAACTGAACTAGGGTCCTCTGAGAAAGTTACCACCAGCTCTTAACTACAGAGCCATCTATTCATACCCCTATACATATTCTCTTCACATGACATTTTAACATCTGGGTCATCTGGTTGTTAGTAAAGCCACATTAATTTACTAGTTCCTTTTATGTTATGTGCTATTTCCTCAGTTCTCAGAAAAATAACTTTACTGAATTGGTTTTACCACTAAGAGTATTTCATGGGTTGGCTCTGTTACTCTGGAAGAATCCAGAGAATAAAAAGATAATTTTGGATTGATTCACAGAATAAGAGGTGGAAATTTAAGGATGAGTGACAAAGAAGCAGAGCAAGACAATGTATGACTACTGACCCCAACCCTAGAAAACGTCAGCAATATTTACAAGCCAGTAAGGAAAGTACTTCATTCAGAAGGATGGTGAGTATCACTGGAAAAAGGAAAGAAAGTACTCAGAACTGATGGCTGCTGTAACACTGTGTAAGTGATATGAAGACTGGGCTGAAGACTGGTGAGAGGAAGTGTGGACCTGGATGAAAGTGAGGGTAGCTGGAGGATAAAATACGAAGGGGCTAATCCATTTTGGTGGAAACAGGAAAATGAATGTGACTGATAAACAGAGAATGCCATGTGTGGAATAATTCAGATTACTTAAATTAAAAAAAATGTTTTTAGAGATTACCTAAATTTACTCCTTATCAATAAAGAAGGGTAGCTACATCTTCATGGTGGCCTTGACCCCAAAAAGTGGAGCGTGGTGCTACAGCACTTGGGGAGGCAGAGGCAGGTGGATATTGAGGCCAACCTTGTCTACAAAGTGAGTCCACACAGCTAAAGCTACATAGAAAGCCCCTGTCTCAAAAAACCAAAACAAATGAATAAACCAAATGAAAAGAGGCATGGAACAGCTAGCAAGACAGCTGGGATGAACAAATGAACTGTTAGAGAATTACTGTCACATTTTAAATCTAGTATTTAAGTCCGCCATCTAAGGAAATAAAGTACTAAAGAAAGATGGCAAGTGGAAATAGCAGACTGAGAGCCTCAATTTTTCGGTTATCGAAGATACTAAATTAAATGTCAGAACTTACCACAATTGTAGATTTGGCATCAAATATTATTCTTTTCAATCTCTGCAAAATGCTATCACCTCCTTGGGCCTTCAATTTAATAAGAATAAAACATGTTATATAAATACTAGTAGTTCAGTCTTATGTTACATACGTAATTATTGGAAGGTGGCTCACCCTCCCAGGCTTGTACAAGCTCTGAGTCTCTCCAGCTGCTGAGCCACAGTGTGACTGAAGACTTTCCTACTAAGTAGGAACATCCTCATGCAGATGGAGCTCTACAGAGAGTGCTGAGAGAAGTGCAGAGAAAAGTTCCTGGGGATATCAAACCCTGGTATCTAGCTATCTCAGAAATCTGGCCCATTCTTTGAATTTCTAAGCTATAGGACCAATGAAATTTCTGTTATAAAAGTCTGATCAGGTTTCACTAAATCACAAACAAAAGGGTTCTCAACCACTACAACTGAGTTTCTTTCAATCAAAACACCATTTCTACATAATACCATATTGCTACTATGTGACTAAGGGAGTTTCCCAAACTTATTAACTTTAACCGATGTTGGTTTTTCAAAATTTGTGTAAAAATGAAACAAAAATGTAAAACAAAACAAAACAAAAAAACAAAAAACAATAATTAAATTATCATTTAGGCAACAAAGACCCTTAATTTTTTTTTTCTTTCTGAATTAAGATGCGTGCTGGTCACACCTGATCTCCACCTGAGCATACTAACATGACTGTTAATGAGTTATGGCATAGTTTGAGAAATACTAGTTTGAGATTTACAGTAACAAAAAGAACAAAAAAAAAATTAAGATCATGTAGTCTTCATGACAATTTTTCACATTATTTTTAGATCTCTTTGCGGGAGCTCTGATTCTCAATATATTTCTTAATGCTTTAAATAACTGATGGTTTTCACAGCTTTTTGTAGAAAACCATTTTTGGTAACTTAATTCGGTTGTCCTTAATTCAACTGACCCCAAAAGGTATTAAGTGCCAGGAAAATTCTCTGAAAAGCCTTATTCCAGGTCACAAACCTCTTAATATCTCTAGTCTAACACTAGAGGCTAAGAACAACATTCCCATCACTGTGACAAGCAAAGGTGTCCCAAATAACTCTTTGACGGACATTTGCCCCTGTGAGCCTCTGCAACACAAGAACTTTCTAATAGGCTAACTCAATGAGCAAGGAGAAAGCAGTGGTGGAAGCTGATTCCCTCTTCCCCCCAGGCAAAGAATACCTATTCTTTTTCAGGATCAAAGGTAAAGAAATGTTAGTTTCTCTTCTGCCTTCTCCCCTTCATCCTTTTGAAATGGATCTGAACTACTTACAGGTACTGTACCATCCAAAATGCTGTTAATGAACTGGACCATGTCACTGGCATCCTTAATATATCTATCCAGCAAAAAGTACTGTTGGTTTGAAGTATTCAGTACGACTATGGTTGGGACTGTCAATTCACTAGAAAGAAAAAAAGAAGTCAAAATTTATATTAAGCACAGCAATAACAAATACTCTAGTGCTCATTTACATCTTAGTAGCTAGTTAGAGAAGAAAAGAGATTTTTAATACTTTTAACTCTGTGGTCAAAAGGAACCTTTCAAAGTTCGCAATAAACTTACCATTAGACAAGACTGTATAAAAATATTATAAAAATCAACACCTGAGTAATAGTAATTAAATATAAAAGTTGTGCTGTGTAAAGTATAAATTTCTGCACAGTACTATACAGAATACTAATAACATGTAACATACCTCAGATGGTAGGTAAAAGGATGATCTCTGGAACCACACTGTTTGAATCTGGAGCTTTCTCTTAACACTGCATTATGTTAGTCAAGAACTTTAGCTTTACATGTAAAGCTTTTCTCTTATAAAATATGGAAACCAGTAATACCTAACTTACTGCACAATTACATGAGGAAATTCAAGCTAAACATTTAGAAAGGTACCTTGTATATATTAAGTAAACATATACATGTTGAATAAACAGTATTGTGAATTTTCTGTATTCTTCTATCATTCTACCCAACAACAGAATACATGTATTTTCCAATATACTTAAACATTTATCAAAACGGATCATATCCTAGCACATAAAGCCCTGTTGTTATGGCTTGAATATGAAATGGCCTGGACAGGCTCATGTGTGGAAGGCTTGGACCCCAGATGGTGATATTATCTTTGTAGGCAAGAGAATCAACAGTTAAGCTTAGTTAGATATACCAAGTCACTGGCAACATGCCCTTGATGGTTTATCTTGCTTCCTTTTCTCTTCCTCTACTTTTACTTCTTGGTCACTGAAGGTGAGGAGTATCAGCTACACATTCCTGCTGCCATGAATAATCTGTCTCACTTAGGCTAAAAGCAATGGAACCCACAAAGACTGAGACCTATAAACCAAAATAAATTTTATCTCCTTTAAAATATTTCCCTCAGGTATTTTTCAAGACAAAAAAGTGACATACCCTTCAAACCTAACAACTTAAGCTGACTATGAGCTTGTGATTATAATTTGAGTTCAGATCTTCTACTCTCTCATAATTGATTAAACTATGTATTAAATGTTTATCTACTGCTGGATACTATCTCCTTGACTTATGATGTTAGTTACTGAAACAAACTGTTGTGTGATGTTACAAAAATATTTTTTTTTTAATGAATCTATCTACTCACTACAAAAAACTTAAGAAACGGTCTTATCAAAGTCCCTAAAATGTATTTTACAACAAACAAACAAACAAACCAAAAAAAAAAAAAAAAACAAAAAACAAAAAACCAACTGTATTTCTATTATAGGGTAACCTCTTGTATAAGAGTATACAGAATATCTTTCCTCTTAGGTTTATACAAGATCAATCTTACAACTTCTATAAAAAAATACGTGTTCTATGGGCAATAGGAAATATGTAAACAATTGTTTTTCTTTTTTAGTTAGTAAAACCTTAGCACCATTTGGGGAACAATGTGGAAGGGGGATGGAAGTGGAAATATAAAAATATATGCGCTAGAGAATAGGGACATGTGCAGCATAAAGATGACTTTTGCACACAGCACAGCTGTTGCAATTATGAACTCACAGCAGCTATGGTTATCTGCACAAGCCCCACGAGACTGGGTTTCATGCATGCATTTCATCATGCATGAGGGAGGGGCCTATGAGGTCCTATCCTTTCCTGTGTGTTTACTGGCAATTAATAGCTGTTGGGTAAGGTCATCATTTTCTTCAATGATGTTACTAATGCTGCAGTCAACAACTTATCACGTGTTCATACAAACAACTCAAATTAAGTTGGGTCAGACTTCTTGGGCAGAAGTGTTTGGGGGGGGGGATCCAAGATGGCGGCAACCAGCGTGCACTGTATCTGAGGAACAGAGAATCTGAAACTCAGAAATTGGTGAGTGGAGGGGCAGCTGAAGCCAAAACATCAACACTGAGATTTCCTGGGCGAGAGGGGACAACCCGTGAGCTGTGACCATTTAGATCCAGGTCACCATGGACTTCTCCAGGGACTGAGAGTCATGAATATTCAATCCCTCTGCACTTTTCCTTGACGGTCCTCCCTCCTCAGCAGAGGCAGGCCACAGTGCCCGTGCTTCTAGGACAGAACTCCCTACTCCATAACTGAAACAGAGAAGGCGGGCCTCCCTGGGCTGCCAGCTGTACTGGCCTCCTGTGTCCTGGGTCCATCAGCAGCTGAACAGGCTCCCCAGGACCTCCCAGACAGTAACTGTACTAGCCTGCCAGTTCCTCAGTGGTGGGTGGCGGGCTGTACGGTCCACCCAGGTCTGCGGAAAGCTGCATGGGCACCCCAGGGCCTCCCAGCAGGCATGTGTACTGGCCTCCCAGTTCTGTGGCTACGGCTGGACTTCCAGCAGGCCACTGTACTAGCATTCCAGTTCTGTGGCTGTAGCACCACTGAGCTGATGGATCTCCCACACTCTCATTTGCTCAGGCAGGCACAAATTCGAGAGTAGAGAACAGGGGGAACCCCTGTGTTTTCCGATTCGGCTTGGTAGAGAGTGAGTGCACCTTCAAGTGAGTGCATGGAGAGCCCCAGATCCAGGGTCCCTCTACGCTATCAGCCAGGCATCAGATCCCTCCTACCCATAACCCCACTGTGGGCAACGTAGGCATTCTTGAGACAGCATTCTCAACACTGAAGCCTCTGTTCTGTGGGTCTACTAGTGGAGTCTAGGCAAACAATTACTGGAGCCCACACAGATCTGAATACCAGGAGGACAGTATGACAGGCCTGTAGGTCACTGAGGTATTCAGGGAACCTACGCATGCGCATTGTGCCTGTGAACAGCGCCAGAGCCCACAACCCCTCCTGTGCCTGCACCCTCCCAACCCACATTCTAGGCATCTACACTCTCTAGCACCCTGTCCTTCAAGGCACACTTCCACGCACACACCTGCACTTGCTCACCCGCACTTGTGCACCTTCACTGCGACCTTCTTCTCTTAGCTACAGCTGAAATACCAACACACACTCTCAAATCTGTGGACCTCTCTCATTTTCCCTGACACCAGAACCAGAAAAAGACCCAGTCTGAAGTACAGACTCCAGGGACAAACAGTGAAGGTAATGGATAAGTGGATGTCTAGAGGTAGGCGTAAGAATACATCGAACAAAAATCAGGACATCATGGCTTCACCAGCAACCCCAAAAAATCAATGGATATTTTGAAACACAAGAAAATTATTTTAAAGCTATGCTTATCCAGTTATTAGAAACACATAAAGAGGAAACGAACAAAGCTCTCAAAGAAGTACAGGTAACTACAGTCAAACAAATAGAGACATGGGCAGAGGCACAATTAGTGGCATGGAAAGACAGGAATCCACATTCAAATAGAAGAAGGAAATGGTGCAAGAGATGAAAAGAGAATTAGAATCAATAAAGAAAATACAAACAGAGAAAACCCTGGAGCTGCAGAACTTAGAGAAAAGATCAGGAACCACAAACGTAAGCATCACCAATAGAATACAAGAGATGGAAGAGAGAATCTCAGGTACTGAATATACACTTGCAGAAATTGATAATTCTCTCTCTCTCAAAAAAAAAAAAAGTAAAATTGGCAAAGTTCCAAACACCAAACATGCAAGAAATCAAGGATGCCATGAAAAGACAAAATCTAAGAATAATAGGAATAGATAAAAAAGAAGATTCCAGGCTCCAAGGTCCAGAAAATATTTTCAAGAAAATCATAGAAGAAAATTTTCCCAACTTAAAGAGATGTTCATAAACATACAAGAGGCCTACAGAACACCAAATAGACTAGACCAGAAAAGAAACAGTTCATATCACATAATAGTCAAAACACTAAATCTATAGAACAAAGAAAAAAATATTAAAAGCATCAAGGGAAAAAGGTCAAGTAATATAAAGGTAGACCTATCAGAATCACACCAGACTTCTCAACAGAAACTAGGAAAGCCAGAAGGGCCTGGGCAGACATCATGCAGACTTTAAGGGACCACAGATACTACCATACCCAGCAAAGCTTTCAATCAACATAGATGGAGAAAACAAAATATTCCATGACAAAACTAAACTTAAACAATATCTACACAGCAACTCAGCCCTACAGAAGATACTAGAAGGAAAACTTCAATCCAATGAAAACAACTACACAGGATATAGGTAGCTTCACAAAAAATATTAAAAGAAAACAAGCATAGACACACAGTAACTCCACCAACTACACAATAAAAGAAAATAACATTCATTGCTCACTATTATCTATGAACATCAACAGACTCTATTTTCTAATAAAAAGACAGACTAACAGAATGGTTGCAGAAACAGGATCCAACATTCTGTTGCATTCAAGAAACACACCTCTCCAACAAAGATAAACACTACCTTAGAGTAAAGGGCTGTAAAAATGTTTTTCAAGCAAATGGACCTAGAAAACAAGCTGGAGTAGCTATCCTAATATCTAATAAAATAGACTATCAGCCAAAATTAATAAAAAAAAGACAAGGAGGGACACTTCTTTTCCTTTACAGGAAAAATCCACCAGGAGGACATCACAATCATGAACACCTATGCCCCAAATATAAGAGCACCTGCATTCCTAAATGAAACATTATTAAGCCTTAAATCACACATCAATCCCAACACCTTAATAGTGGGAAAAACTCAACACTTCACTGTCACCAAGGGACAGATCATCTAGACAGAAGCTAAATAGGGAAATAATGACACTTTTAGAGGTCCTGAATCAAATGGACCTAATAGATGTCTACAGAACTTTTCACCCAAACTCAAATGAGTATACCTTTTTGTCAGCACCTCATGGAACATTCCTAAAAATTGACCATATAATTGGGCACAAAGCAAGCCTCAATAGATAAAAGATCAAAATAATCCCTTGTATCCTATCAGACCACCATGGCCTAAAACTGGACCTCAACAACAGCAGAAATAGCAAAAAGCCTACACACATGGAAACTAAGCAACTCTATACTGAATGACAACTTGGTCAAGGAAGAAATGAAAAACCATACAATGGAAAAACAAAAAAGCATACAATGGGAAAAAGACAGTATCTTCAACAAATGGTGCTAGTCCAACTGGATGTCTACATGCAGAAAAATGCAAATAGATCCATATTTATCACCCTGCACAAAACTAAAGTACAAGTGGATCAAAGAGAGCCTGGAAGTCATTGGCATAGGAGACAACTTCCTGCACAGAACACTAACAACACAAGCTCTAAGATCAAGAATCAATAAATGGGACCTCATGAAAATGAAAAGCTTCTGTAATATCCAGAATATATGAAGAACTCAAGAAGTTAAAAAGCAATAAATCAAGTAATCCAATTAAAAAAATGGGGTACAGAGCTAAACAGAGAATTCTCTGTAGAGGAATACAGAACGGCAGAAAAACTCAGAAATGTTCAATGCCCTCAATCATCAGGGAAATGCAAATCAAAATGACCCTGAGATTTCACCTGACACCTATCAGAATAGCCAATATAAAAAACTCAAGTGACAAAACATGTTGGAGAGGATGTAGAGAAAGGAAAACCCTACTCCACTGCTGGTAGGAATATAAACATGTACAACCACTTTTAAAATTAATCTGGTGCTTTCTCCAGACAATTAGGATCCAATATAGTTGGATCTTTAAGATCCAACTATACTACTCCTAGGTAATTATACAAAAGATGCTCAAGTACACAACAAGGGCATTTGCTCAACCATGTTCATAGCAGCTCTATTCATAATAGCCAGAATCTGGAAACAACCTAGATGTCCCTCAACTGAGGAATGGATGCAGAAATTTTGGTACATTTACACAATGGAATACTACTCATCAATTAAAAACAAGATCATGGAATCTGCAGAAAAATGGTGGGATCTCATCCTGAGTGAGGTATCTTAGAAGCAGAAAGACACACATGGTATATACTCACTTATAAGTGGATATCAGACATAGAATATAGAATAAACATACTAAAATCTATACACCTAAAGAAGCTAATCAAGGAGGACAACCCTGGGTAAGAAGAGCAATCCTCACTCCGAAAGGCAAATAGGATAGACATCGGAAGAGGGAAAAAACAAGAGATCAGGACAGGAGCCTACCACAGAGGGCCTCTGAAAGACTCTTTGACACCAATAGCATATCAAAGCAGATGCTAAAATTCATAGCCAAACTTTGGGCAGAGTGCAGGGAAGCTTATGAACGAAGAGGGAGGTAGTAAGATCTGGAGGGGAACAGAAGATCCATAAGGAGAGTAAGAAATACAAGAAATATGGGCCCAGGGGTCTTTTCTAAGACTGATACTCCAACCAAGGACCATGCATGGAGATAACCTAGAACCCCTGAACAGATGTAGCCCATGGCAGCTCAGTATCCAAGTGGGGACTGTCTCTGACATGAACTCAGTGGCAGGCTCTTTGATCACCTCACCCTGATGGGAGAGCAGCGTTACCAGGCCACAGAGGAAGACAGTGCAGCCAGTTCTGATGAGACCTGATAGGCCAGGGTCAGATGGAGGGGGAGGAGGACCTCCCCTATCAGTGGATTTGGGGACGGGTATGGAGGGTGGGATTGATAAGGAATGAGGGAGGGGGCTACAGCTGGGATACAAAGTGAATAAACTGTAATTAATATAAAAAATTAAAATTAAAAAAAGAAGTGTTTCAGAGGGAAATGTGGGGGAGAAAGGGAGAGAATGGGGGGTAAAAACAATTAAAATTCATTCAAAGTCAATGTAGTTTTGAATTTGAAATAAATACTCTTTAACGAAACAGGACTCCTAGTGGAGGGAGGGGAACACCAACCAGCCACAAAAACTTCAACCCCAAATTTACTCTGCCTACAAGTTGTTCAGGGATAAGGATGGAACAGAGATTGAGAGAAAGTCCAACCAATGCCTGGCCCAACCTGAAACTCACCCCATGGGAGAGAGCAACCCCTGACACTATTAATGATATTCTGCTATGCTTGCACATTGGAGCCTAGCATAACTGTCTTATGAGAGGCTGGAGCCTCTCATAAGGAGATCAAAACAGATGCTGAGTCTCACAGCCTGGGTGAAGCACAGGGAGTCTTGTAGAAAAGTTGGGGGTGGGAGGACAGAAGGACCTCAAAGTGAGAGGAGCTCCACAAGAATACCAACAGAGCCAACTAACCAGGGCCCAGAGGGGCTTGTGAAGACTGAAGCACCCAACAAAAGATATGCATGGACTGGACCTAGGCCCCCTACACAGATGTAGCAGATGGGAAGCTCAGGCTTCATGTGGGTTCCCTAGTTAAGGGAGTGGGTACGTTCTCTGACATGGGTTCTATTGCCTGCTTTTTGATCACTTCCCCATGGTGGGGCTGCCTCACCAGTACATAGGGGAAGAGGATACGTTCAGTCCTAATTCAACTTGATGAACTGGAGTAGGTTGTTGTTGCTGGTGAGGCTACCGTTTTCTGAGGAATAGGGGAGGGGGAAGGGGGAAGAAGGAGGGAAGGGTGATATTGAGAGGAGAGGAGGAGGGGGCTATGATTGGGATATAAAGTGAATAAATCAATAAATTAAAAAAAAAGAAAAGATACTAGTGTCAATTACTTCAAGTATCTTCAATAATTGTATGTGGAAGCCAGCCAAGTCTCAGAAATTGGGGCTCTCCTGTCAACTTGTAGCATACGGGGATCAAACTCAAGTTGTCAGGCCTGTGAGCAAGTGCCTCTACCAGTGAACAAACTTATGAGACCACAATTACCTATTAAAGTATGTATTATGAAAAACTACAAATATACACATTGTAGAATGATTTGAGAACATTGTAAGTTATAATGTTGAAGTGGGAAATAATCTATAGTAAAGAGAATTAAATCTCAAATTCAAAATACACAATTTATAAAATAAGACATTTAATGAAAGAACGTCAGCATCAGAAAATGACAAGTGCGTTTTTTCTAGCTAATTAAGTTGCTCCCCATTTCTCAAAATTGGAAATATCAAAGTGGAAAAAAATTGCTAGCAAAACCATCAATACTTTACTTACTCCATAAGCAAGGTGTTTATATAGTCATTTCCATCCATATGGCCAAACTGAAAATCTCTGTAAGACACAAGCAACAACAAAGAAAAAGAAGAAAAAGACCTCAATATTAGATTAAAAGAAAAAAGGTACACAGCATAAACCAAAACTTGGTAAGTACAAAAACTTTCAATACTGAACATGGAAATCCCTATATGTACATAACAGTGTGTTCTACTGGGTTTTGATAAGCAAATTACACAAGCAACAACAACAAACCCTGGATATTTTACCTCATTATACATGTTTAAAGGCAGGGAAAGAAATGTGCTACAAGTAAAATAGATTTAAGGAAAGCTGATTTACTGTGAAACAGGATCACTCAGAAGAGGTCAGCTACTACGAACCATGAGAATTGTACAATGAAGTTTTGGTAAATTTGAAATATGAAAATAATAAATCCTGAAAGTTTCTATTGCTGTTTTTGATAGCAGCAACAAGCACAAAAATTTGAAATACAGCAAAAATTCTTATTCCCAAGTAAAATTTTACATTCCATTAATTATTTTGAGTTTTTGCTACAATGACTTATTAGGCATGTGACTGTTCATTTAAATTGTTTCTAATTAGCAAATTTTTGTGCATATTTTCCTACCATAAAAATACATGTCAAATACTCTCAGAAAGCAGAAATGGGTCCTTCTCTAACTTGTAAGATGCGGCACGGATATATCTTCATGCTGACCAGAAGCTCTAGGTCATTCAATTCTTGATTCACCTTTCAAAGTATAACATATGGACTCTCTTATCTGAAAAGCCTGGGGCCATGACATTTCTGAAAATTTTGCACATAAACAATGAACTCCCTAGTGCAGGGACCCAAATGTTAAGTACAGAATTTTTTCCTTCATATATACCTTATTCACATATACTGAAGGAAATTTCACAAAATCCTTTAAAAGTGACTTTGTGTTCTAACTACTATCATGGGAAAGCAGGCGTGGAATTTTCTTACTGTCGTGTCAGAGCCTATACACCTCAGATGTCAGATTTAAATTTTAGAGATTAGGGATATTCAACTTATCTTACTACTTTTGATTTACTGCACTGTAATGCCAAATTAAACAAAGACACCCTTTTAGAACACATGCACATACCTATGGAAATGGTCTCTGAAATCTCTAGCAACCTCCTGAATAATCGACTTTAATCTGTAGAAGAACAAATATATAAATATTTCACCTCTTCAATGAAAAAGTTTAATTATCCCGTTATAACATCTGCAAGACACTCTATGGAGACTACACAAAGCTGATCTAGATGACATTTGAAGCTTAAATCTGTTTCAAAGCAACTATACCTGGTATGCTCAAGTGATGTGTTTTTCTCATCAATAACTGCAATGGCCACAAGCTTTCCTGAAATTAAGAATAATATCTTTCATTTCCTTGAACTGAGAATGACATAATGCACATTACACATACTTGTCAAATATTAAGTCTGCTGTAACCGGGAACTTTCAAAATATGTTGCTAGACTTTATTTAAATCCAATTATTATTTACATGTTACACAAAATTAAGCCAACATATTATGCTTTTAATTTTTTTGTCACAATTAAATTTTCACAAACACAGATCAATTAAAGATATGGAACGATTCATGAATTTGCGTGTCATCCTTGCGCAGGGGCCATGCTAATCTTCTCTGTATCATTCCAATTTCAGTGCATGTGCTGCCGAAGTGAGTACAACATATTATGATACAATACAATATTTGCAGTTATAGACCAGTGAATTAGTTGACTGCAAATGAGACATTTCTTCTACCTCTAGGAGGTAAATAATAATAAATTTGTTATGATTTCTCTACTAAAATTGTTTTATGCACCCAACAGCCCAACAAAGTATTCTTTCAAAAACTACACCATAAAGACAGATTTTTAAAAGTTTAGTAAAAATTGTTGTAGATAAAAACAAAAACAAACAAATAAACAAAAAAACAGTAGTTTATAACACTAAGGAAATATTTTTTGCATAGCCATTTCCTGTTATAATTTCATTAGTAATGGCATATAGAATCAAATTGAGTGACACACTGTTCTGGAAGTGTAAGTAAAACAGTAAATTACATGCCTACTGATAATGTTCAGGAGGACAGAATGATGCAATAACAGAACAGCAGTGTTCTGGTGGTGCTGATGTGGGCTGAAGATGCTATGTTCTCAGCATTGTACCAAGCCCTGGGAGAACAAATGTGAGACACCACTGTTTACTACCTATGTAACTGAACTTCAGGAGACTCCCATTTTAGGACAGCAAATGTTTCAGACTTATGAGGAAAGTTGAATGAATTTATATACCTAAACATACTGAGGAATTATTTCACTTGGGGAAGGAACACAAATGTAGGATTAAGTTAAAAAAATAGTATCACTGAACATTATTTTGATGCTTTTCCTAGTCTCACCCTGCATAATACATTTCTAATACATCTATAATTATATAAGATTACTCAACTAACTGTTATAAAAACATCAGCCTATAAGGATTATTTCATTTTTTGAAATTATTTCATGTACTATTCAGTGCTTAATTTTTATTGTTTTTATTTAACTTTCAAATGCCTTTTCCCTATAGCTGAATTTCCATTCCATGGTCATGAAACTGAGAGCAAACACATGCGGTAACAACACAGATGTCCTACTTTTAATTGTTTCTAAGTTTATACAATATTCATTTAAAAAGTAAGCTTCTTATAACTTTTAAACTTTCTATGTGTAGTTAACTTTTATATATTTCTATTTATTTTCCTGTTTTGTCATTTTCTACCATATGACCTTAATGAATAATATGACTGATTTCCTCTCACAAGTTAACAGTGAGAAGACTGTGAGAAGGCTTCACTTTAACTTGAAGCTTCATGGTTTTTGGTTTGGTTGTTTGGTTTTGTTTTCCTGCATTCCTGAATCATCTAGGCTCCTTGTCTTTATCATTACCATTGCTTGTTAGTAAACCTTCTTTATCTACACAGATCCTCATATCAAAGTATATATCTGTGGTATTATAAGTCTCAGCTCTTAGAAAGCAGAATTAGCAAACATAAGTCTACTTTAATTAGGAAATTCAGTTCCAAAAGAACCAGTAAATAAACATTCAATTAAAGAAAATTTCTGAAATGAAAAGGAATGGCCATATGCTTGTTACCTGTCTCTCCAAGTTCATACAAAAGGAAGCCATCCATAGTAAGGTAGTTCTGAAACCTCTCCCTGCTGATCCACGAAGACAGATCGCCATCTTCATACTCTTGAAACAAAGCAAATAAAATACATCAGAATAAAAGATGGCTGTAATGTCTCAATCCAGCAAAATAATTAATACCTAACACAGTATTATAATTATAAAACCTTAAGCTGGTTTTTAGGTAGTTTAGAAAAGGATTAATGAACAAAGCAATTATTTACTATAGCATCACTAAAATTAGCAAAGAATAATTCAAATAAAAAAGTAATTAAAATGCCCCAAATCAAAACTGAATATTTTTTGCAACATGTTGAGAAAGTCCATTTATATGTTTAAAAAGAACTATAGCAAACAGTTATTATAACCTGAATATTCATTTGAAAAACAGAATTGAAAAGATAGTGACAAAATGATCAAATGAAAACATATGCCCCTACAATGACAGCCTGGTGAAGGTGTTACCTGGTTCCTATCACTGCAGGTACTTTGTACTGTAATTTCTTTGCCTGATTAAAAATATAGTTCTTAAATGCTTTTGGAAACATGACAATGCATGAAGAGAACACTGAAAGTAAAGGTCTAAATAAACTGTTTTTAAGCAATCAAACCTATAGAATAAGTGCCAATTTTTAAATAGAGCTAGATTTAGAAATTAGAAAACTGAATTTAAAACTACAAGTTGATTATTGGATCAGAATCTTCATTCCATGCCAACAGCAAATTTCCTAAAGATTATACAACATGATAAATTTAAAACTCTTTAGAAAAAATATTTCTGTAATAGTATCTTAGGTTTCAAGATTCATAAATAATCAGTAGCAGAAGAAACATCTGCTAGACATTTTCACTTGGGAGAAAAATGAAAACACTTTACCTTAAAAATACAAAAAAAAAAAAAAAAAAGCAGCAATGATCAAGTATACACTGAGCACTTCTAGTAGCAGTTCCATGATAAAAAAATAAGGTAGGTAAAGAAGATACATACAGGGATTCTCTCCTTTCTACTATTTTTATGTGCACAAGTTCCTCTCAAGTTTATTTGACTGTTTGGTGATAAATGTAAACATTCAATAACTATCCTTTGAATGAATAAGCCTATGAACAGACTTGATGTATCATTGTATAGATCTCCTTACCTAACATTCTAGTGATGTAGGATATTCATGTATCTGCCATACTATCTACTCCATAAATTATTTAAAGGATAACATGACAATGCAACATTAAGTAGATAACACAGTACATCTAATATATAGTAACTGCATGCAGTAGTGATAAGTATATATCAAGAACTAAAGTTAGTTCAATTATACACATTAAAAAATAGAGATGCTTAGTTTTCTCAGCTGTTATCAAAATATATCAAAATATCAAATATGACAAAATATCAAAACATGTTCCTTTACTAAAACAATGAAAATATTTTTTTTATTAAGTGGCCCAACAACCAAGTGGTTAACTACAAATAAAGCCTCTGTTTTTAAAAAGAAGGATAATAAAACATAGTGACAAAATGTCATTAGAATTTGCTTTACAATGCTTCAAAAGAGAAACAATAAAACTGAAGCAACTGTAGTAAGGTCCTGTTAACCATTTAATATTACTGTGAGTATTAGGGTTTTATTATGTCACTCTTTTTATGATATATGGATGACATCAAAATAAAATGTATATTAAATGACATATTTACTTCTAGGAAGTATTTTCTGATAGGGGGAGAAATACCTAAAGAAGGTATAAGAGTTCCATTCTGCTGAGGATTTTTTATCTGTGTGTGATGAAAGTTAACTATCCTCCTAAAACTAAGTCTGAACATTTTAATGTATAGAAACTGAATACTGTTTTTTTCTTAAAGTGGCAAATATTTTCACACACACACACACACACACACACACACACACGAATCACTGGAAGCAACTAAAGTACATTGATGGAAAAACAACTGAAGGGTTAAAAGATTATTGTATCAAATGCTACACTTTGTAAGTGGCAACACTTACAAAATCTTTTATAAATGCCTCCACATAACAATGTTTTAATTATGAAAGGCTTTATGTGAATTAAAGCTTTGGAACTTACCATCATAAACAAAGTAAGTGTCATCTTTGAAAACAAGCACAGCAGGAATTTCTTTCAGTGTCACATACTGCAGAAAAACATAAAAAATTTTAAGTTTTATCCTAGCAATTCAATTAATACCTGGTACTTTGTATTTGATTATTATTTATTTTGTTCCTGGAGACTCCCTGCTGTCTCTTAGGAGCGCATTCTCATGTACACCTGCCCTTGTTGTATAAACCTTGCTCTACCAAATTTAAAGTTGATTGGTTAATAAAAAATGCCGAAGCCTGGGCAGGGCAGAAGTGAGAGGCAGAGCTAAGGTTCAAGGGCTTTGAGGAGAGAGGATCATGGGAGGAGGAAACAGGTACAGGAAAAGGAGAGCAGCCCTGGGATAGGGAAAGAACCACATAGTCGAGAGGAACTGTTCTAATGATCTGGCATGAATGGAGGAAAGCAGCCCAGATGAGGAACATGTGCACATATTTTTGGATTATGGATGGGAAATAGCCTAGATAGGAATTATTAGAGCAATTGGTATACGATACCAGCCTTAGAGATAAAGTTTAGTTTAAGAGGGAAATAACTGCCCAGCCCCAGATAAAATAAGTCTTATCTAATATCTTTCAGATGTCTGTGCCATTTATTGATTTGGTAATGTAATAATTACAGGCTTTTAATAACAATCATTATTAGCAATTTTTATTTTCTAAAACAAGTACCTACAATTTCAAAAGCATTGAAAGAAACTAGGAAATACACATATACACACACACACCACCACCACCACCTACTACTACAAAAGACTTAAAAAAAAAAAAAGAATACAATCTTAAGTTCAGCCAAAATTTGTATCTGAATGTTTTCAGATCCCTCCCTGAAAGCAGATCCCTTCCTGTCCAGCTAGTTTACAGCTTCAAAGAGGTAGTGGTTACACAATTATTTGAATGTGCCCCCAACCACACACCTGTACATCCAAATGGAGGGATCTGACCCTAAAATGTAAAATATTAATACTTATATCTAAAAAAGGAGAAATGACAAATTAAGGGTATGAACCTTATCTGCAATGAAAAAAATGTCTTATATCAAACTAGGTAAACTGGAATAGATTTATATTGACAAAAATAGAGGTTCTTCAACAAGCTGAAATCATTTCAGAATTGCCACTGTAACATAAAAACACAGAGCAGTGGTTCTCAATCTCTGGGTTGCAACCCCTGTGGGGTCGAACTACCATTTCATGAGGATTGTATATCAGATATTCTGCACAATAGATACTTACATTTTATGACTCATAACAGTAGCAAAATTACAGTTACAAAGTAGCAATGGCAATAATTTTATGGTTGGGGTTACAACAACATGAAGAGTGAACTGTGTTAGAGTGCTGCAGCATTAGGAAGGTTAAGAACCATTGCACTAGAGGAACCATTGTACTAGAGTGATTTCATATTCTCCTGCTTATTGACTCCCAATCTTAAAGGTCAACTCATCTCTGCATCTTTCACACTTGACCAATGTACTGTGCTTTCAGCATTTTCAAATGAACAATTTGAGCTTCTTATGAACTTCAACCTAATATACGCTGTAATATACACAATAAGAACTGTCTTCTGCTTGCTTCTATCCCTTTCTCACTGCACTATAGGATCACTGGCTACTGTGGTATTTTCTAGATATGCAAGGTATACTCCAGCCTTGGGCCTCTGTATTATCTCCTCCTTGCTTCTGATACATTCTATCCATAGACCTCTGTGAGGCTCTTTCACATCAGGCAGATTTCAGTTCAAATATTTTCTATTCAGACATACCTACTTTCATCTTTCTTTATTTTTTTTGATCAAAAATGTAAACAGTTGTCTATCCCTACATATCCCATCTCTCACACTGTCCATATACTTTTGGTATCATCTCTGGAATATTGTTTTTGTAATATTTACTTACTACTAGGTGTGAAGGGCCAGGAGAAGACTGAATTTTGCGTCATACACATAACTTACAACTTAAAAACATCTTTGGGGTTTGATGCGTATCACTGCTTATCAGTATTATTTCAGAGAAAAAAAAATCACTAATGTAACTACAATCTCTAAGCGCCACGATCGTGGAAGACTTGGTTCATGAATTATAAACAGTATGACATCAATAATAAAAATTTCTCTTTTCATACAACATTACAAATAAATCTGACATGTAAAATCAAATCATAATTCTTAAGAATAAATTATCATTAAATCAAATATTAAATATTACCTCAGGAATCACATCTTCTGGCGCAGAAAAGAAGTATGTATACACAATTAACTCTGAAGCAGCATCTATGTATTTCTCCTATGACAGTTCAAAAAGAAAAAAAGATATCTTAAATATCAAACACCAAAATTTACTCATTTAATAGTTAAAGCTATCTAGAAGCAGTATAAGAATTTCCTAGCATATTTCCTTTTAGTAAAAGAAGAAACTATAACCAAATGCAATGTTGTGAAGGCAAACCACCATTCCAACTAAGTGATTCTATCTTCCCCTTCAAAAATAGCTGATGAATTATAATACAAAGTTGATTCAGGTTTATTAACAGAGATTAGCAATGATGAATGATGATGGTGATAACAAAAGGAAAGGCATGCATAAATACACATACACATTAAATAAACTTAGGTACAATGTTTTACTTTAAAAAGGTAATGTTTGCACTGTAGTTTTCAGTCTTTCACTGAAAGTATGCAAAAGTGATGCAAATTAAATAACCTGGTCAGTAACAGTAAAAAATACTAAGGCAGGCAATGTTTACCCAAGTTTTACTTAATTTCTTAATTGCAAATTTAGTAAGAGATGAAAGAAAGTGTTTTCATTGTGAAAAATACTTAGATAAGCCAAAATATTTTGCTTTAAAGTTTCAGAAAAATCATAGCAATACAGCAAATAAAATTACAACATGTTCATGTGCAAGAAAAAGATAATGTCATACTTTCAAGGGTGATTCTCCACCAATATAAACAAAAAATACATGGTGCCGCTTCTGTACATGGTCGAACATTTGTTGACTTGGAAGAGGCCGAATTAGAGCCCTGTGTGAAAACATAACAAGTGAGTATAAACTAAAGATAGCACACAATTCATTCTTATTTATGTGACAGCTGACTGTGTTTAACATTTTAGCAATATATTATCTGTACTTAAGTACATCACCAAACCCACCCAAGTAAAATTTCTGCCTGCAGTGTTTGTGTACTACATAGTAACACTGTATGTAGTAGCCAAAATTAAATCTGCCAGTTTCAAATACATCGTTTTAGACATCATCAATAATATTTTTAATCAGTGAGACACAGAATGATCACACATTTATAGTCCTTGGCTAAAAGCAAGACAATCCACCTGAGAATTCTTTCATTTTCAAAAGCAGATTTACAGAAACAGATCATGAAACAGTATCCCAGGATTCAACAAGAGTTAATGTTTACATAATATGTGTCAATTTAAATATTACATACTTAAGTACCATATAGAAGTCAAAGCACCAAGCTTCCAATTTATATGACTATTTATATGACTATTATGGAAGCAATAGTTACACTAGCACAAAGAGAAAACTGTAGTGGAAAGTTTTGGTGTCTTTAAGAACTACCCCCTGCTGCTCCTGGCTGCTGCTGCTGTACTTTGATGAGAAGAAGAACTTGAAGATATCATGAAGCAAGTTTGGACTCTACCCCAATTCCTTCCAATTCCTCAACACCAGGTAGGAGAGAAAAAAAGGTAAGTGGGGAGAGGAGGGTGGAGTTCTCTTTTTAGTTACTTCCTCCTGGTTAGGGTCATTGGTTTCTTTGGGGCAAGTCCAATCTTCCTTACATGGTATTTCTGACTTTTTTTCAAACTGCATCAACAGCAACTAGGAGCAGCAGGGGGAAGCACCAGCAGCCTTCTTTCTTGGAGCCCTCTTTTTTTCTAGGTTCTGGCCTTTATTCCCTCTCCAGAGTCCTCAGAAGTAAACTATATGCAGCTGGCAAACAGCCCCTCTCAGAGTCTGCATGAAGCAAATACTTTGCGCTGTGGACAACCTGAAATCAGCCCCACATCCCCCACCTGGAATTAAAACTAAAACATGTTTTCATAACATAACTGAGTTTTTAAAGACACCAAAACTTTCCACTGAAGAAAACTATCCTACAAAATTTATTGTACAGTCATTTTCAAAAACAAATGGATAAATGAGTTACACTAAAGGTTACTGTAAAACATATCATTTATAAAACAGTTAAGAAATAAATGTTTTTTTCTTTTAAATATGGTATAGATTAGCATACTTTCAGTCCACAAAACTTACAAAATGAAAAAAACCTATTTTGCAAAAAGGGAACACTTTCAAAACACAGTTCTTAAAGTCATTGCATCAGTCTCCCTAGTCTTTGCTTCAGTCCTTTGCAATTAACCAGTAAGTGATGCAACTCTACAACTGAGTTATGAAATCTTCCCTACTCCAGAGGCATTCTCTCATCAGGAGAATCCCCTCTTAGGGGTAGAGAAAACTGCATTCAATAACTGCCAAACATAAAGCTACCTGAAGCCACAGGAGAGTCAAGTGCATACCACTAGCCTTATTTACCTCCAATATATGTATTTAAAATTATTTATTCACAAATGAAGAGAAATATAGAATCACAATGAGAAAATACAACTGAAATTACACATGTAACCATCACAAACTCTAACAAAGATAATTTCTAATTCTGTGCATCTACACAAATATTTTGAGGAATAACTTTATACAACAAACCTATCCTGTTTTAACCTCAAGCTATTTATAATTACTAATATATCTTGCCAAGTTAACAAAGTGTCTAGAACAATATAGATTAATTGATCTGACAAACGTTCTTAAAAAAGATATATATAAACATATTACAAATGTAATTATAAACACTGATATTCTCTACACATTAGCAAGACATAGATGTTTCTTCAAATCAGCAAAAACTGATTGTAGAAGGATCTACTTCCTGATCAGCAACAAGTAAAATATTTGTAGTTTGATGCAAATGCTTTACTGGGTTTTAACTATGTAACTTGCTAAGCAAATACTGCCAGAACACTTTGCAGTGATGGTAAAGAAAATTAATTTAGCTGCATTAAAAAAAAAATTTTCAGTGCTACAAACTAGGGATGAAATCCCAAATTTAGGCTCCTGTCCTTTTACTTGTTTTCTCCTACATCCAATGTCCATCCCATTTGTCTTTCTAAGTGAGGACTGATCATCTTACCCTGGGTCCTCTTTCTTGTTTATCTTCTTTAGGTGTATAGATTTCAGTATGTTTATCCTATCTTATAGGTCTATATAAGTGAGTATATACCATGTGCGTCTTTCTGCTTCTGGGATACCTCACTCAGGATGATCTTTTCCAGTTTCCACCATCTGCCTGCAAATTTCATGATTTCCTTGTTTTTAGCTGAGTAGTATTCCATTGTGAAAAAGTACAATTTCTGTATCCATTCCTCAACTGAGGAACATTTGGGTTGTTGCCAGGTTCTGGCTATTACAAATAAAGCTGCTACAAACATGGTTGAGCAAATGTCCTTGTTGTGTACTTGAGTATCTTTTGGATATATGCCTAGAAGTGGTATAGCTGGATCTTGAGGAAGCACTATTCCTAATTGTCTGAGAAAGCGCCAGACTGATTTCCAAAGTGGTTGTACAAGTCTGCATTCCCACCAGCAATGGAGGAGGGTTCCCCTTTCTCCAGCATGTGTTGTCACTTGAGTTTTTGATCTTAGCCATTCTGATGGGTGTCAGGTGAAATCTCAGGGTCATTTTGATTTGCATCTCTCTGATGGCTAAGGAGGTTGAGCATTTCTTTAAGTTTTTCTCTGCTGTTTTGTAGTCCTCTACTGTGAATTCTCTGTTTAGTTCTGTACCCCATTTTTTAATTGGATTGCTTGATTTGTTGCTTTTAAATTTCTTTAGTTCTTTATATATTCTGGATATCAGCCCTCTGTCAGATATAGATTTGGTGAAGATCCTTTCCCAGTCTGTAGGCTGTTGTTTTGTTCTGACAACAATATCTTTTGCTTTACAGAAGCTTTTCAGTTTCATGAGGTCCCATTTATTGATTGTTGATGTTAGAGTCTGTGCTGTTGGTGCTCTGTTCAGGAAGTTATCTCCTGTGCCAATGAGTTCTAGGCTCTTCCCCACTTTTTCTTCTAACTGATTTAGTGTGTCTGGTTTTATGTTGAGGTCTTTGATCCACTTGGACTTTAATTTTGTGCAGGGTGATAAATATGGATCTATTTCTGACATGAACTCAATGGGGGGGCTCTTTGCCCCCCCCAACCCGAGGGAGGAGCAGCCCTGCTAGGCCACAGAGGAGGACTTTGTAGCCAGTCCTGAAGATACCTGATAAACCAGGGTCAGATGAAAGCAGAGGAGGTCCTCCCCTATCAGTGAACTTGGAAAGGGGCAGAGAGGAGATCAGGGAGGGAGGGTAGGAATGGGAGGGAATGAGGGAGCAGGATACAGCTGGGATACAAAGTTAATAAACTGTAACTAATATTAAAAAAATTTTAAAAATTAAAAAAAACCATGAAATCCCAAGTTTAAAAGAGCAGTAACATTCTGTGCTTCTTTCAAGACTCTGAAATTACAGAACAAGCAATATATAAATTGATATATGGCATTACAACATAAGAAAATATTTAAAAAAATTAAGATTCACGAAGTTGCTAGACTGATTCTTTTAATTGCATATCTCATATTTCGTTATTTTTAAAAAATAATTTATTTAATTTTATTTTATTCGGATCAGTGTCAAGGTGTCAGATCCCTTGGAAATGGAGTTACAGACAGTTGTGAACTGCCATGTGGATGCTGGGAATTGAACCCGGGTCCCTTGGAAGAGCAGACAGCACTCTTAACCACTGAGCCATCTCTCCAACCCCATATCCCATATTTCTAATTATTCAAAACAACTATGGTCTGATAATACTAAATAAAAACTTCCACAGGAAACAGTCCACAAGTTAAACTGTGTACTGTTCTGAGTAATAGGAAACCCTACTGTATACTACTTTCCCTCAAAGAGTACATAGAAAGCCAGTGAATCACACAGGGCTTGTGTGCAAGTAATCCTTACTTTGTTTATCAATGGACCCAAAGTACAGACATTGGTGATACTGGAAATCCAGATACCAAAGAAAGGAATAAAGTAATTTCTTTAAGTGAAAATCTAAAAGGACAAGCAATTTTTTGAGGAGAAAAAAAAAAAAAAAAGAGCACATTCAAGCATCCCTGGGAGGGGGTTGAGCTGGGAGCTTAGTATGTCCTTTATAAATAGGAGAGACTGTAGTATAAGTAATAAATAATTGGAAAATGTATTAAAATTCATTGGAGAAAAAAAAATCTAAGCATAAAATGACCTTAAGCACAAAATTAACATAAACTACAAAATATGCTATACCTTTACAGATTTTCACTGCATATGCTACATAAATGTAAATTTTTAAAAAATGCATATAACACATTTAATATCTAAAATGTATGTCCGATGTGATCTACTAAAATACATTTCTTTCAAATATTAAAATCATATAGTAAAGGCTATTTCAACTTACCCAGACACTCTGTGAGCAAACTCAATTATATCCTCTTTAGTCCGTGGTCCTCTGTAATTATATGCCAAGTCCCCCTTTAATCTTAAAAATAAAAATAAAAATTGAAAATTAACTACCTTTATATTTAATCTCAATCCTCCTCTATTAAATAAAGTATTAGCTTAAAATGCACAAAACACCAAATAAGGAGAAGCTTTAAGAGCAGCACATTTATGTAAAGCAGAGTGTGCAGAATCCTCTGAGGAACATCAACTTAAGATGCACAGGAAATGGCAATGCTCCATACACATGCCAGGGATACATTTTAACTGGTAGTGTAGAGTTATAGTATGTACCTTCTGAAAAGTGATTTGCATATTTACAGTCAAGAGCTTAGTGGAAAATAAAAGGACTAGGGACTAGTGTAATTTTGTGGTAGCAAAACCTCCAATACGCATCATGAATTAGGCATAAAAATAGCTTTCTTAACTTGTCAATGCATAAATTTATAGCTAACCAACTGTACAGATAGAATATATAAGCAAAAACAGAACTCATAACAAAGAGAAAGGACCATTAATATATACTGTAATAGAATAGCATTTTCAAAAGACAAAACAAAAAAAGAATAATGTCAATAAAAAAACAGGTTAATATATTCACTCAAAATTGTAAAATTTGGGGTTTTAAAATATTGGGGTTAGTTTACTTAAAATAAAAACTGTGAAACAACTGCTTAGTTCCTTACAATATGAAAATAAGATTAATGAAAATAATAGGAAAATTCAGCAAAATCATTGTAAAACAATTCTCTTTCGACTCACCTTATCATTCTCCAATTTAATTTCTCTAGTAGACTTGATCAATACCCACAGATTAAAGTGAACATCTATCGATTTTGCTTCTCCTGATTTCTCTTTTCTCTAATGAAGCTAGTGTCTTTAATTATACAAGAATGAAATGTTAGATGTGATCTGCAGTGGCAAAGCAGAACACATACTGGGGCTCCTCAAGAAGAGACCTTTCACAATTTATAAATGTATGCATCATCCTATAAGTGAATGCTACACAGTGAATACTCAGAACACATTTACTGAATTAACTTCATACCATACACTTAAACATGAAGATATATAGAGACGTAGTCTCTCACTTTTGATCACATACTTGGTTTAAAAACAATGGCTGAACCCAAACTTTCATCCTCCAAAGAATGTACTTGAATAAATAAAATGTAAACAGTCTGAACTATTAAAACTATACATATAAACATACAACACTCGACTTACAGCTTAATTGTTGGATAACCTCGAACTCCAAACTCTGAAGCAATGCCTTGATAAGAAAAAGAATAAATATTTCTAAGTTCCTTTTAAACTAAGAAAACTACGTACCATGAGCCTTTTACTTAGAAAAAAAGTTTATATAAATCTGAGTGTTTTTAAGTATTAAAATCTCACAAAGGAAAAAAATGACATTTTTTTATAATTAATAATGTAACATATTAACTTCAGAAAATACTCTCAAAAAGTAAAGAGTGAATGGCAAAATAATAATTACATTTTGTTCTTACCCCTCTTCTACTGCCTTCTCTCCCTTTCTGGTTCCTGTTCTAGTTCCATGATCTATATTCCCCATACATGTGTATACAAATTAAAATCCTGAAGACTCATGAGGGAAAGTGTAGAGAAGGATTTTTAAATAAAGACATGTATAGGAAAATATCTATCACATAATCTAACACATAAAACTCCATAACTGAAGGTCTAGTTCCTGACCCCTGATCCTGGCCTCACTGCTAAGTGATATCTGATGGCACATTATGGCAGACATGCTAATATATACTGAGGTGGAATAGTTATAACTGAATTTAATGGTTTAATATCCTTTAAATATACATCAAAATAACTGTGTGAAGAAAAAGTGGATTGTTATCAGATAGAACGGAACTTTGGAAGACTAGAAATATTGTTTGAGTGAAAATATAAATTAGGAGGCTAGGGTGAAACAAAAATCAGTTTTTGTTTTTCTTCCAACTTAGAGAAAAATGGTTCACATATAAACTTGACATCAATCCCTTCATAGAAGCTGCTTGTAACACAACTCCCCCTGGTACTTTATAATTTTAAATATTCACAGACATGATAAAATATGGAGTTTGCTATTTTTTTGCTTGTTCCTTGAAATTATAACAACTCAACAGTATAGACAGGTGAGGGTAAGAATTATGACCTTAGATTCTGGGCCTAACTTTGTCTCTAATTTTGGCATGTGAGATCAGTCATTTCATGTTATTTACCTTTTGTTGCTAGACCTATGAACTGGAAGGGGAGGAAGAGTGTATTTCCTTTATATGACCAACATAAAAAGGGCATAAACAGTGACTGTCAGGTAAATAAAGATGGGTTTAATGTACATATGGGTTGAGGAGAAAGAAGTGGGAGGTGAAGAGGCTTTTCTTCAATCTAGAGAGTAGGTCAGAGATATGGTGCTGCTAAAAATTCCAACAACCTGCACAGCACAAAAAAGTAATCCAGAAAAAAAAAATAACTGGTCCAAAATGTCAATAATACAAGTTTGAAAAACCATGAACTATAGTCACAGTGTAAAAATTTTGTAGTCAAGAAAGGAAATTTGCAAACATAATCCTTTAACAAAGGACAAAGAACAAAGAATAGGAATGGTACCAGACAAATACCAGTCAGTGCAGGTTTGTTCATGAAAGTGAGGCAAATGTAATCCCGACTGTAAAATAAGGCGAAATGTAAGTTAGAATGTAAGCAGGATTTTAGGAGCTCCACAATAGAAATAAACATATTATGATGGGGGAAACTATACAATTTAACTTCTATATAAGAAATACTTTTAGCATTCATTCCTGGAAGAATAGATCTCTGTGTATGTGTAGATGTTATAAAACATGCTTGACTAATTACTAATTAAAACTGCATCAAAAAATTTGTCACTATTTCAAACAACAACAACAACAAAAAAATGATACTAATTCAAAGTTCCAGTTCAAAAGTTCTATACACTGGAATTTGTTTTTTTGAGTGTGATAACATTTGTTTCAGCCACATTTACAACCGAGAATAGGCTACTGTCAAAGACTCTTATTTCTACATGACTGCTTCGAATAGTCTTCTTTCAAACCAAATCCAAATCATGTAAATACATTATCAAAATACTCTACTTTATGGATCCTCAACTTAAGTTCTGCAGTAAAAGTATGTGAAATGCCTGTAACACTATTCTCATGACCCAATCTGAAAGATTTTTCATATGATAGGGCAGTGTGGGCCTAAGCTGACAGTGAGTACTCAGATAATCTTAATGCAGATGGACAGTTTGCAGACCAAATACTGAGAAATCCAAGTGTCCAATGTGCACAGGAGATATCTATGAAACAGCCAAATCTTTATTACTTTACAGTCAGAATAATATGAACAGATGGCTTGAAAAAAAAGAATTAGTCCAGCCCGGCATGGTGGCACATGTCTGTAATCTCAGCACTCTGGGAGCAAAGGCAGGTGGATCTCTGAGTTCGATACCAGCCTGGTCTACAAAGCAAGTCTAGAACAGCTAAGGCTACATAGAGAAAACCTGTCTCGAAACAAACAAACAAACAAACAAACAAACAAACAAACATAAAATCAGTCCTTTATCAATTTAACTCTAAATTCCATTAAAATGTCTATATTTAAAGACTTGCGGTATTTAAGCATTGAGAATTATAAGACAAAATTATGTCTGTAATCTCTAAACAGCAGTTTATGAATACTAATCAATGTTTTCAACATACTAAAAAGAACATTTTTTTCCTGCACAGTAAAGTGGAGACAGTGCATTCACTGAAAAAAAAAAGACAAGTAATTTACTTATGTTTATTGGATATTGTTTTCCTTGTAGTTAATGTCTCATAAGAACCCAGTTTCTCTTTGTTCAATGGTATATTACCAATGTCTAGAATGTGTCTGGCATGTGCTAGCTTATATTGAACACTCATTAAATATCTTATAGGGAAATGACCCTGCAACTGGCATAAGCTACCACAGAGTAAACACTCACTAAGTTTTGTTCTAGGTAAATGAATGCTGACTTTGCAACTTTTCTATGAAAGAATTACTTCCGTAATAGACCATGTTTGGCCTATTAAACAGCAGGATCCATAAGAATGAATTACTGTTCTGGCTGGGCTCTAAGTTGGGAGGGAGAAGTGGAGGAGTTTCACTGGTCTATATCCACAAAGTATATTACACAAAGTGTATAAAGTAACCATAAAATACTTGGTGGGTGACAGTGTTCCATATATATGAGTTTCTCTTTCTCCTTTCCCAAAGTTACATGGTTTGCACAAAATGATGTGTTAAATACATGTTTCCTTATGGCTACCTCTATATAACAATGCTTTGTGAACAAGAAATATAAACTGAAACAATCACATCTATGAAATCAAAATGTCGCAACTAGAGTGGCAAAAAAGAAAACTATAAACAAATTAATAGCATTTAAAACACTTTCTCACTTTAAATATCAAACAAAAATTACTGCCTTTACACTTGCCAGGGGAGTGTTGTACCATTGAGGAATATCTAACTCTTAATTTGGCAATTTTTCCTAATCACAGAACCCCTTTAATAGGGTCACTTACTAATATATAAAAGAAAAAGAAAAATTAAAAAACAAACAAAAATACTAAATTTCAAATATTAAAGGATCAGACACTATAAGCTTTCTGAGTTACTGTAAATATCACTGAGGCATCAGTTTTATCTTTAAGATATTTACTTAAGTTCACTGCATGTATTATATGTACGTATTTTTCCCAATGACTTTTCTTTATACCCCCATTTTATTTTCCATTAAATGATTAAAATGATCAATAAGTCTGCCACTTTCCAGACTTTTTGGCACTTACTATAAGCATTTTTTGGCCTAATGGAACTTGTTTGGCTTTTCAATAATCTCTAAAGATTGGAATGGAGGTTCATAAATAGTTAGGAAATGAAATCTGATTAAGTGGATAAGTGAATGAGTGCATCTAAAAGTAAATACGTGTGACGATATGAGCCACCCTGTGGGTGCTGGGAACCAAACCCAGGGCCTTTGCAATAGTAAAGTGCTCTTAACCACAGAGCTATCTCTCCAGCCTCTTCTAATCCTGTTAAACACTAATCCAAGCATATTATCCTTCTTCTCTACAACAGTGGCCTGCCAGCCATCTTATCTCCTTCTAAGGTTTCAAAAATTAATTTATTTGACTCAGTAATCCCAGCTCTGACAACTCATCTACATTCTCGATCACTGATTCAAAAAGATCAGTAAACTAAAAACTGCCAATTTAGGTTAGCTGACAGCTTGAACATAAACAAGAAACTAAACATCTAGCTTTGCCATACAACAGTGGTGTTATATAGCTCAGCAAGTACATCTAGGAGTACAGTGGCAATCTATCCCGTCTATAACTTCAGCCCTGCAAATGACTATGAGTATTGTTTACACTGCTCTGTTGTTTCCATTCAAGCCTAAGCTCCCAGAATACATATAAAAGTTCATATATATTATCCTCCTGTATGTATTCTTCTCTTTCATCTTACAAGCTTCTACCAAAAATATTTTTATCAAATCATTTGCTTTCCCTCAAATGAGTTTTCTCCCTATTGACAAATGATAAAATGTAAAACACTGTCTGACCTAGGAAACTCTTCACATGGTTCCTTCTGTATTATCACATGTACTAGCTTTTAAATCTGAAACATTAAACAGTCTTTATCATCTTAAAGATTACTGCTCCCTGATAGATTAAAACAACTAAAATTAAGTTAAGTACCTCATTCATAGCCACAGAGTAGGACGTAAGAGTTGAGATAAAAAACATGGGCCTGTCTCAACCCCAAGTACATGAACCTGACATCCTAAAAAAGAAATGCACAGTAAATGGCTGGGTGTGTTGGTTCATACTTGTAATCCTAGTACTTGAGAGACTGAGGAAGAGGACTGATATGAGTCCTAGGACATCACAAAATGTTCCAGGCCAGTCTGAACTATAGGGAAAGATCCTGTCCCATTTTTGTTTTGTTTTAAAGATAGCAGGCATGCATATTGCCACACAACATAATTCTACTTTACGTAAAAGACAAGGGAACCAATCTTAGTGGACACAACGGATTTTACACATGTCACATCTTTCAAACTTCAAAATAGCCAGTAAAAGAAATATCATAATTAAATGTTTACCAATAAAGCCAAAGCTTAGGGCCTTAGTGTCACACACATAAGCAATACACAGTGCCAATCTTATTTTCTCTGAAGTCATGCTCTTTCCAAATCACTACAACACTGCATTCTTCTCTTAGCTTAATTTCTTCTTTTATCATTTCCCTTAAGACACTTCCTAGTAAAAATTAGGTTATGGGGACATGTAGTTTCTATCACAACTCAGTTCTGACAATGGAGCATGAAAATAGTTTACATAACAATATACAAATGACTGTGGAAATAGTCCAATAATTCTATTTACAAAAATTAGCAACAAGGCAGATTTGGCTTATGGGGTGACATGGACTTGTCTCAGATTAATTCAGTTTCTGTACTCAGTCATTAATCTCATTTTTTACTCTTAATACCTTCCTAATCTCACTCATTTTTTCTAACTCAGTCCATTTTTTAAACTTCTACTTATTTCTGTATCCCTTTTCCTCAGCTTATACGTTTCAAATTCTCTATAGCTGTCTCCTATAATATATTATCATCAATGCGGACTCAACTAGGAACAATGACTTGCATGTCTATGCTATGATTAAGATTAGCTCACAATGTATATTTAAATAATATACATGGCAAAACATCTTTACATGACAAAACATCCCTTCTACTCACCCCGAAAATTATTCTAATTAAAATATTTCCATTATTAGAACAATACAAAAATTAACTATGAGCTTACTAGAATAGGAAGTAGCATCCATCTTTCCAACTTTAACTGGAGAACCAATACTTTTCATTTCAAGCCCAACCTCATTCCAAATTGGTTCCAGTTTTTTACAATGGCCACACCAGGGTGCATAAAACTACACAAAAGGAAAGAAAACACATTAAAAAGCTGCATCACTATGAAGATCAACCGTAATATTTAAAGAATTTATTTAAGCAATGTAATATTAATCTTTTCAAACAAAATAGTTTAGTGGCAATATAACAAAATAAAACCCATGAATCTAGATACCTCAAAAACTAGTATTTTAACTGACTATCTGATAGGTATTTAGAATAGAAATGTGATTAAGTAAGTCTTTAATTCTGTGCAGATGTGTCCACGTTTATATAAGATAAAACCACTAAATAAACATGCATTTACCATATCACAAGCAACTTGTGTTCATGGAAAACATCTGTTCTTAGCACAAAAATTTAAAAGAGGTAGGTGCATTTGCTTAGTTCTATGGTTTTCACTGGTAGAATATGGGTGATCATTGATAGATTTGGCACAGAGACAAGTCAGGTTGATTACAATCATGGCCTTTCAGAATTCCAGAATCACCAATTTAATTAGTTCCTTAAGTTATATGGTATTAACACAATATTTATGTATTTTCATGAAATGAGGCTTATTTTTAAAGTTGATACTATGGAAACACAAATAAAAAAAGAAAGAATTAACCAGTAGTTTCTCAGGCTCTATCTTCTACCCTTAACAGTCACCAATTCTGCTATCTTGTTCCATTTTGTGGGTTATGCTCTTTTTTTTTCTTCTAATACATGTTAAAGCAAAGACCCAAATTTAATTTTGCTCAGTAATGGGATGAAAGTATGTTTGGTATTACTGTTATTTTAATATAATTCAATCTCTTAAAAGAATAAAGAAACGAGTTAAGCCTATACTGAAATCACAATGTATCTACTTAAGATATAACCTACAACTTCATTATAAAAGGTTGCAGCTTCCCTTAGAATGACCCTACTCCCATCAAAAAATGAATTTCTTTGCCAGAAACTTGAAAGTTCTCAGGGTCATTCAAATATAAAGATCTAAGATTACACATTTTAGTCCACTGGAAAAAGAGACAGGGAATCCCCAGAGCAAGACACTTAACCAAAACAGAAAATCTTGAGTTCCATCAGTGAAAGAGCCTTACTCTTACATTATAATGTCTTACATTATACAAGATGCTGAACAACTGAAGTCACAATGTCAATCTCTGGCATTCACAGGCACAGACATACACCATGTACACTTGCACACACAAGTGAATGTATACTTACAAATATGCATACATACGTGTACATATACCATACACATATTGGGAGAAATACAAGTAACAATATCTAAGAAAACAAATTATTCTCTTTGCATAGGAGAGAGCAAAAATGATACTTAAATTTAAATACTCACATCAACAAGCCAAATGTCATCTTTTCGATTATCTTTAAATCTAAAAAGAAAAAATAAATCTTCTATTTATATTTACAAACAATATCACAACTACAATAATTTAGAAATATAAACTTAAGTAAGAATATTGAACTGATCAATACAGAACAAATTCTCTGAATAAAAGTTTTATATAAAATTTTTACTCAGTGACTGCTAAATTTTATCCTATTCAGTAAACATTTTAAGAATTAAAATTGAAAACTGAAGAATTGAAAAAATAAAAAAGAAAGAAGAATTTTGGGGGAAAACCACAATTGTAATCTGTTTTCTTAATCTGGTATTCCACTTGGAACAAGGGGCACCTGTATACTGAACAAGTATTAGTTTTTACTTTAGTCCATTAACAATACAGCAAAACTATTTGTATTATACTTTGTTAGGTATTACATAAACTGCAGGGATTCGTTAAAACAAAGAAAGATGTGTGTAAGATACATGCAAATAAGTTATCATAATATATATGTATGTATGTATAATGTACTTGAGTGTCCAGACTTTGTTATCTATAGAAAATTCTGGAACTAATCTCCAGGAGAGATGACAACATAAATCTAAACTCTTCACTACTATATTCCATTTTAAACCTGTGCAGGAAATTTAACGCAGTGGCTTTAGGTTACGCTCAGAAAACACTGCTTACAAGATTGGTCTCTTCTTTGTATCAAGAACTTGGATTTTAGGAGTCTCATTATTTCCTAGTAAAGAATACAGTTCTTATAAAATGTTTGTGAAAAGCAAAAAATCCAGAATTGTTGCACTGGGATCACATGTCTGAGATTCATATTCCTGGCCATAATGTACTTGTAAAATTCCATCATCTAGTTAATTCAAAATTCCAGGGCTACCATCAGATGCAATGCTCTTAGAAAACCTGAACAGGAAGCAAATATGGCACACAGGACCTACAAAGAATAGAGTAAGTCAGCACAAAGCATGGGGATGACAAAGCACATCACTGGCATTGAGGTCCAGAGGAATATTACAGACAACAAAAGGGGTCCGACATGTTTCACCTAGTGAGAATGGCATGACTTTGGGCTTCAGAAACCTCCCTGCACAGGCTATTTAGCCTTCAACAGGATGCAACAAATGGGACTTTCTTTTTTTTCTATATTGTTTTGGTGCCTTTTCACAATGGAATTCCCTTTTCATGGGACACGTACTGTGGATCTGAGTGGCAACACTGGCTGGCATAAGCACGAGATACATTTCAGTTTTCACATTCAGCCATCAAGCAAGGTACTCTATTATTAACATTCCCCAATGGAAGAGCCTTTCAGGTGAGTATCCGTACAGGGAGCAAAATGATTACCAAAAGTAAACTTCCCTCTCCTCAGGCAGTTACCATTATAAGAACAGTGTGAAAAAGTGGTTGATAGTGACATACCCCACAAGACACCACTGAGATAAATTAAGCTACTTTCTTGTTATTGAAGAGTTTTCCTCAAATACAGTTTCTATAAACAATCTTCAAACACATCCTCAACTCCCATCACTAATACTAGAACCCACAGATGTTCATACCTCTTGGTAATCCGTAAGAATACCTGTATTCAAAAGACCATACTACTCACTACAGCAATCCTGTCACACAGTTGGGTGCCAAAGTGTTTGATGGAGACAAGGAACAAACTGAAACTGTCTGCAGAAATTGTTCAATGAGTAAGACTGTTGTGCAAGCAGGGCCAGGGTTTAGATTCTAGAACCTACAAAAAAGATAACACTATACCTGCAATCTCAGTGTTACAGGGTAGAAACGGGAATGGTGCTGGGGCTTGGTAGATTCTGGCCAGTACCAGGTTAAGAGAAAGATCCTGTCTCAAAGACAAGACTACCATAGTAATCATCTGTCCTTTGTACAGTCATACAAAGGTTGTGCTTAAACATATGCACACACATTGCAGACGGAAAAGGAAAACTGGAAGCAACAAGTCCTGATTCATCTACTATTGACAATGAAAGAAAGAGATTAAAAGGATGGTAGCTCCATAGTAGGTGTTTTTTTTTTTTTTGTTGTTGTTGTTTGTTTGTTTCCATCATGAAATAGTACCATAAAAGCACTAGGCAGATGCAGTTACAGATAGGGAAATCCATCTCATGATGAGGAGCACAAAAGAAGACCTCTGCCTCTCTTTAAGTGGGAAAGTAACTAAGTTAAAGACCTCAATATGGTAGCAAATTTTATGAAAAATTTTAGTAATAAAGTATATGAAAAAGGTAAAGCCTCCAATAAATCTGCCAACAAGTAGTCTAGGAATGCTGGTATACTTATGAGCTTGGTTGGCATGGGAGGGCTGAGTCCTTGACTATAAGCTCCTCCCAGTGACTGATTGTACACCAAATCTGGTGTGGGAAAGGCCTGCCAAAGAAGAGATTGTCAGCTGCAGTCAAGGCAGAAAGACTGACCTTGAATTTTGCAATGAAGTATGTTTTCCAACCTATTGTGAGCAAGGTCTTGTGAATAAACTTGTTGTATTACAGATTAAACACTGAATTCCAATACTAACTTTGTATGGTTAATCAAAAAAAAAAAAAGAAACAATTTGGAAATATTTGCTGGTTTTCACCTTATAATTATTAGCAAAACTTTCTGGAGTACTCTTCATTTTGCATGTAAATGGCAGGTACTTTAAACAAGTCCTGAAACAAAACTGGCTATGTTAGTCTCAATCACCACTGCACCTATTATTAAAGATTCATTTGAGAATATTTAGATGACATCTGAGTTAGACAAACTTAAATAGTATTTAATAGTATTTTACACATGTTTGTATACTCACGATTCATTTAGATCTTCTACAAATCCTTTACAGACAGTCAGGTCAAGTAAAATAACTGGAAAGGACAAAATGTATAAAATAATTGATTCATTACTTTGTTTTTACCTCGTCTAAATTGCCTATGCAATGCTCGCATTTTCTATCTATCAAAAAAATCTCAGCAATGATCCATTACAAGGTTAAGTGACATAAAAGCTTAAGTAGTTCATCCACTCAGTAAAAATTTACTTGCATGCAATCATATTGCAAAGGGCAATCACTAAATATATACACAAAATATATAGTTGCTTATTCTACATATTTCCACTCGTTTTATTTTTCTTTTCCGCTAACTTAATTTTCTGGCCTAGAGATGAAAACAATTTCCCTTTTCTCTAGTAGCATTTATCTCTTCGATAAAGTCTAAATGAAATTCCCCAAAATAGGCAGAAAAAGATAACACTGGGCTTCAGTTCTAACACTTATTTCAGGACAGTTCCTGGCTCACAGAGAATTTTAAATGGTAGCTGAGTTAAGGAAGGAGTGAACTATAGGGAACCCCTTGACAGTATTCCTCTTCATGACAGCTGATGACCGAGAGCTTAAAAGATGCGTGGTCTCTACACCACATAGTTTTGGATATCTGACCAGGATCTGCCTTTAGGCATCATCCCTCTTTTAGCCTGGGCAAGAAAAGCCTTCCACTGTAACAAGACCCAGAACCTATGCTAAATTGGGGCTCGACATCCTTGTCCATTTACCAATGGAATCAAGGAAACTTCCTGATCGCAGAGAAGGTAGCAGTTGCCTCTCGGCGTCTGGCAGCGGATCTCGCAGAGTCCCGTTGAGGAAGCCCGACCCACCGATGGAGGCAGAATGGGTACCCTAAGTACCCCGCGGTGCGTGCCCAATTCGGCCCGGTTTCATCTTGGCCCAACCTCCCACTGTTCCCCACCGCCCCGCGCACTTCTTACCGGCAGCGCACAGCCGGAGGGTCGTCCAGTTCCTTCGCTCCGCAGCACTTGCCATGGAGCGCGGCGTAGACCCCGCGACGAGCACGCGCGGAAACATAAAAACTAGCAAGAAAAGAAAGTGAGAAAAACCTGGGACGCGGAACAGCGCTGAGTAAGGCAGAGGCGGGTCGGGGTGTGCCGGCCTCCCTCAGGCTCCCGGTTAGCCCAGTGGTCGTAGCCTCTGAGCATGCGCAGGACGCGACGCATGCGCCCGAGCAATGCGCACGCGCATTCGCGTTCTCACGGAGCCTTCGCTCCCTCAGAGCTCTGAAGAGCGTGGGAATCCGCGCTGAATTCTTCCTGTGACACTGTGGTTGTGCCATGGGACTCTTCCCCGAATGCACGTACGGCATTGTCGGTGAACTTAATGCTGGAGCTGGGGTAAGGTCCAAATGCACTGTAAGCCTGAGTTTTGCATGTTTTAAACTTTCTACTAAGTCCTGTGAACTCACTTGTACACTGAGATAGTAGTACACTTATAGCTGGAAATAGTGCTTTAAAATAGAAGGCTGGATTGCCGAGCTCTAACACCCTCTTTATAAAAACCTATTTAGAATCTTAAAAATTGATTCATGTCGCCATTATGCCATTATGGATGGGAGAACTATACAGTTAACGGTTGCTCCGGTGTTGTATGATATTTTCTTAAGTGGTTGGTTGCCATGCTTATGCAAGCAGCAACACTGAGACTCAGTGCATTACACTCATGCACATGCACACATAGGTCTTAAAGAAGACTTTCAGGAAGACAGAGGGACGACAGGGTGAGGTGGGGTGTTGTGAAAGTGATCCAAGTTCATAATAAACACGTTTGAAAATGTGAAAGAATAAAAAGAATTGCTTTTGCTGAAACTTGAAAAAAGCTAATTATAAACATGGTTATGGTTTTACTGCTTCTTGATTATTTGTAGACTAAAATCCTTAGTATAATAATCCTTTGTGTTGCAGCCTCCTATGATTTAGGAAAACAATACACTTTTTATAAGTTGGTCCCCATGGCAGTCACTGACTTAGATGAGATGTTTTTTTTTTTTTAATAGGAATGAAGTGCCAGAGGATTTGGATTAAACTAGTTCTTAGAATTTATGTTATGAAAACAGAGCATGCAAAGGCAGAGGAGTAGAGGAGAGAGAAAGGGGGAAAGGGATATATGAGAAATGCCCCTCACAGGCTCATGTATTTGATTAGTTCCTTAGCCGTTGGTTCTCTTTAGGGAAGCTCCAAAACTTGGACATGGTGCCTAGCTGGCTGAAACAGAGCCTTAGAATGTTTCATGCCACCTGAGCTCTCTGCTCCCTCACTGCCAATACAGTATAACCAGTTGCCCTATACCACCTCTGCCTCAACACCTTCCCCAGTCATGTTGTACTATACCCTCTGAAACTATTTTTTAAAAAATCCAATTGCTTCTTTCAAGTGTTTTATCACAGCTATGAGATAAGTAACCAATATAACGACACAAATTAGGATGAACAACTTTGTAAATATGTAAAAGGTTAAAGTTCAAACCTTAAAGATAAAGAAAGCACATTCAAGAATGAAATAGATTTTAGAATTGGCCTTTAGATAAATTAACTCATATTTGAAATAATTCAGTTTCTAAAATTTTCCAATCTACTCTTTATTTTTATTTAAACAAATTAGTTATTACTGATAACTCTCCAGCAAAACAAAGACAGTAGGAAAAGATTTATTGGATGTAATTCACAACATAAATAAGACCCATGATCTGAAGGTGTAAACCAGTAATATAATCCTTTAGCCTAAGAACTCAGGGCAGGCAGTAGTAACACATCAATGTCACAGCTCAGTGTGCATTTGCCTTCCCATCACCTTTTTGTTCTATTCAAGATGAATATGAATGATCCCCCACCTACACTGAAGAAGATTGCCTACTTTCCTAAGTTTCTTATTCAGTTAAACCCTTTCAGAAACATTTTATGGACATAGTCAGAATAATATTTTAACACCCCTCTGAAAATATTTTAATGCAGTAATTTGGCTCATAAAAGTAGCTATCAAACTGTTGTTTTAAACTTAACAAGAATAGGAAAAATAGAGAATATTCACCAGTTCATCCAACAAGGCCAGTGGAAAGTTGATACAAAAGCCAGGCAAGGCAAATGTGAGAAAGAAAATTATACAGATAATCCACTTAAGAATGGAAATGATGTTCTTAAGGTAAGACCATAGGCTCATAATGTTTGATCTCTAGTTGGTAGAATTGTTTGGGAAGAATTAGGAGGTATGGCATGTTGGAGGAGGTATGTCTTTAGGGGTAAGCTTTGAGGTTTCAAAAGCCAACACCATTCCCAGTTAGCTTTCTTCCTGCCTCATGCTTGTGGTTTAGATATAAGCTCTCAGCTACTGCTCTATCATCATGCCTGCCTGCTTCCATGTTCCCCACTATTATGGTCATGGATTTATGCTCTGAAATTATAAGTCCCTATTAGACATTTTCTTTTATAAATTGTCTTGGAGCCATGGTATCTCTTCATAGTGATATAAAAGTAACTAAGGCACAGAGACCCACAACTAATCAGGGTGCAGAGAATGAGAGACTATGCAATGCTCATCCATCAATGGGAGATCATATTCCACCTCTTCTAGTCCTCAGGAATCATAGTAGCGGAGGAGGAAAGACTGTAAAAGTCAAAGGTGGTAGATAACTACAAGGAAACAATGTTTCCCAAACATGACAGTGCAGTGTAAATGTAACTTTTATTTGCCAGATGTAATTGTCCTCTCCAAGATTTACTGCTGAATAAGCTCACTCTTTCTGAACTCTGGCTGGCTGGTTCAACTCAACTGTTCTGGCTCAATTCTCTTGGCTTTTCACTGAATTTCTTTGCTTGGAAAAACTGCCTGTGAATTCTACTAACTGAACTGCACTGACTGCTGTAGAGGAATTTGAATCCAGCAACATGGCTACTCTGGCTGGAATATAGACACACCTTTAATCCCAGGAGACAGAGGCAAGCTGATCTCGGCCAGCCTAGTATTGAGCAAGTTTCAGACAAAGAAAAGCTTAGGTCTCGGCGTGGTGGTACTCCCTTTAAACCTAGCACTCAGTACACAGGCATGCAGATATCTGAGTTGAGAGGCCACACAGTGGAGTGACAGTTCAGTTCGTAGAATTCAGAGATTGTTTTACTGGGAGAGATTGCTGAGATTTTACAGAGAGCAGATTGCTAAAGTTAGTTTGAGGCCAAGCAGAAGCTGAAAGAGAAGCCAGATTGAATCAGTCAGCTTGGAGAGGAGTTTTGAGCCAGACAGCTGACTTGAGCCAGCTAGGGTTCAGAAAGAAAAAGAAAGGGTGATCTTATTCAGCAGTAAATCCCAGAGGCTGAAAACATTCTAGACCTAGATAAGATTGTACAGAAGCAAGAAGCTTCAAAGACTAGGCCTTGGTTAGCAAATGGAGGCAATAAGCTTTGGAGACATTAATTACTTCAGGAGAATAAAAGACCACTTTAATACTGCACTGACTGCATGAACTGAATGCATGAACTCAACTGCATTTAATTGAACTGCACCCAACCAAACTCAACTGAACTCTATTGCCTGAACTCAACAGAGCTGCACTCACTGAACTTCCCTTTCTTCCTCTCTACTTTCCATGCACTGCTCTTAAGTAGCCTCTCTTTCCTGTCTATTGCTGTAAGAGTTGGCCGTATTCTATCTCTGACTCATTCTGTCAAGTCTTTCTCTAATTTGTCTGCCCCTCAATTAGATGTCATTTTTGGGATTAAAGGAGTGTGCTAAGGGTGTGTATGTATTCCAGACAGAGGGATTAAAAGTTTATAATTCCAGCCAGATCACACAGAACTAGAAGGTCTTTGGTTGTGATTCCTTGCCAGAGCAGCCATGTTGCTGGATTAAAATTCCTCTACAGGGCAATTTCACTGTGAAGTCACAGATGTTGTGACAGCATGCACAGGACCTCCACAAACATACTCCAGAGAAAATTCCAACATGGATTGGAGCTGTGAGAATGATGGTCCACCCTGAGTTGAGATATTTGGAAATGATAGCTGTTAATAGAGGGAGAGCCAGTTTTCTTTAAGAGTGTGAGTCCTTGAGGACAATCATCCTATAGTGGATGGCCACATACCCTAGAGTATATGTGCAACACAAATTGGACTTGATGGGTTTTAAAGAAATGAGGACACAAAGTTATGAGGGTATACAAGGCCATTCTGTAGCTGATTGTTTCATCCTAATACCAAAGACAATTATGCACAAATGAAATGGAAAGATTGATTAATGGAATATAACAGGGCCCCGACCCTGTATTAATATGGGGAAGAGGGCATGTTTGTGTTTTTCCCCAGGATGCTGAAGGAGCCAAGTGAATCCCAGAAAGGCTGGTGTGATTTGCAGGAGATGTCTCCTAGAAGGAGGATGCTCCTGCTGCTGATGATAATGAATTCTGTCCTGATGGTAAATGGAGAGCTGTATTGGGCTTGTGCTTCACCCACTTTTGTTACATTCTGCTCCCTGGAGAAGATGCTGTGCAGAGAAACTTTTTAGATACAATGTGACTAGAACCGACTGATATATACTTGATTGGTCTGATAATCAGGACAATTCTCAACAAAATCAGGAAAAATGGGAAAGAAGATCGACTATGGGACTTTTGTGGTCTGATTCCGGTTTTCAGCAAACCTGTATTTGGAAGCTTGCCACAGAAACTCTCAGGAGGCCCTGTACCTGCCTGTGTAAATTCTCCTTAAGCTTTGTTGTTTACATTTTTATTCAGTATTCAAACTTTAATGTTTTTTTGATGGATAGCCTTCTTTTATTATGGTTCCTATGAATGTTTCTCAGGCTTGATATTTTGATAAGGGCTCATCTTTTATGTCACTTTTATGGAGTGTTATAGGACTTGGCTTATTACTCTTATTAGGAGTATGTATCCTACCAGTGATAATGAAAACCTTCATCAAGGCATTTTAGAATGTATAAGCTATCTGTATAAGGTTAAACTCCAGTGTCTATCCTAACCCTAACAGGGTTTGTAGTCAAAGACAGGAAAGATATCTCTGAGGAATATTCAACCTAAGACAGGGTATGAATGATGGAATTCATGTACCAATGATAGGTAAGAATATATCTTTCAAGAGAGACAACCTAAGAGAGGTACAATTTTCTCCATAGCTTTTAAGCTATGGTCCTTTTTTAAAAATATGAAAAGGGAGACCTGTTGAAAGCTGCTTGTTTGTCAGGCTGCTTGGCTATTGAGTTTTTAGCGAAAAACATGTTTTCACCCTGGCCTTCACCTTGAGATAGGATGCGTTGCACCTTGGCAGGATGCTTTGCCAAGTTCCTTTAACGTGTTTGTGTGAGGATCACATAGAGAGTAAACAAGTTTGATCTCTTGATGAACCCCTTCGTTGTGTTTAGGTGCTTTGCTCTGACTAAAGAAGGAATTGTGGAATAAACCAGGCGTGGAAGTATTTACTGACAGCTCTCTCGAGCTGATCCCCTGTGTTGTGTTTTTTAAAATTTTCTTTCCAGTCCTCACTCCCCACTCAGGAACTGTGTGACTCTGCAGGTGGGCTCTGGCAGCCAAAGAAAGACATGAAAAGGCTTATTCTATTGAAGGCATTTTGCAAAATGCTACAGACATTGTATTCATGAGAACCTCTTCTAAGATAACTCCTGAGAAGTTTAAAAAGGTACTTTATCTAAGTTGAGGCCTGCTAATTGAGTGGATGTATAACTATGCACTATCTTATGTCCTCCCTTGGCTGCTATCTTGGTAGATTGTCTAATGAGAAGTCCATACTGAATGGAATGGATTAGGCAGGTGATATAGAGGGTGACTGACCCATGCTGCCTTCCTTGTTATTCAGATTGTCTACTGAAGACTCAAAAAATTCTTTCCATGTAGAAGGTACTGGACTGACAGTATGACACAGTATGGCAATGAAATAAATTGCTATGGCATGCCACTCAGGGTAATGATTGGATTTTGTATGAAAGAAGCCCCTAATTTTGACCCCATGTATAATTTTGTTATTTTGATAGAAGAGGACAGGAAATATTCTTGAAATTTATTCCAGATTCACATATCAGATTTCAAGATAATAAAAAAGTTACAGTTTTAGAGAAGGAAGAAGATGATCACAAAGAGAAGCATAAGCAAGGAGGAAGAGGAGGGAAGAATTAAAGTGCAAGGATGGTGTGGAAACTTTTACTTCAAATAGCAAAAAAAAAAAAAAAAAAAAAAAAAAACAAAAAAAAAAACAAGGGAAATTGCAGATTTCCCACCAAAACCTTAAGTGAAACATAATAGATACTCTTCAACTTCTTATCATGTAAAACTGACTTGTCCAATCTTAGAATAATTTCAGAAAGTGAGAAGTTTGTTTTGAATCTCCAGCATGGAATTCTTAAATGATAACATTTATTACTAAGGTAGTTTGTTTTCTGTTGGTGATTTCCAAGTTCTACAAATAAGAAAGCCAAAGAAATAACAGAGGTCAGTGGTTCCCACAAAAACAAAATCAGGGTATAAGAAACCCTGTTTCTTCTAAGAGGCTTTGTACTATAATGTTCTTTCAGGCTTATTCAGGTTGCCAATGAAGTTCTCTTCTCTGCTGGTATAGGACTTCTTTAGGTACTGTTAGTCACATCTACTTCGCAACTCATTGCTTTTTCCCTTTAGTAGGAATGTTCTGATGCCTTTTCCTGTCTCTTCTATTTCTAAGGGCGTATATGGTTACATGGCCTATCTGAATGGAATTTAGATCTAAAATACAAATGCAATCAGTTTAAGGGTCTTTTAGATATTTAATACTGAAATCTAAGTAGGCCTTTAAGTGCATGTTTTAGAAAAGTTTATAGGCTGCCATTACAATAGGTCACATTCTCTTACACTTTGCAAATATAAAAAACTTAAAATATTAACACTTCAGTAATTAAATTTATTGGTTGTGAATTTCACATCATGAATCAGAATACTACTCCTCTCCTCCCACCCCTCATATGCACCCTCCATCCTTGCAACCACCCTCCCACAATGGAGAAACAAATCTCATTGTGGAAGATGTAGTGTGCACATTGTGTCCCACAGTATTACTTTTTTGTTCACACTTCTTTGCTTGCAAACATTCACTGCAGTGACTTTTTGGTCTGGTACAAGGACTCCATCTTCTGATTTTCCAAATGCTGCAGTAGGTGGGGGCAGGTATAGCTCTCCTGTTCTCATGACCCCAGGGCCAGCTCTTCCACCTGCTGTAGGTGACAAAGGTGTGAAAGGGCTCCCTCACCCATGCTGCCATACCACAGACAAGAGGCAAGGCCAGCTCTCTTACACTCACACCCTCAGGGATGGCTCACCTACATGGCCTCCACCATCAGGGCCAACTCTTCTGCCCGATGCCAGTGTCAAGGACAAAAGGGAGTGGATGGGATCTCTTCCTCACCAACACCACTGCATAGCAGACAAGAGGCATGGCCAGCAATCCTACACTCTTGCCCTACTGGCCGGCTCACCAGAAACCCCACATATCTAGCTCTAGTGTGCTGCCCAGATGAGGTGCAGAGCCTGTTCTCACTAGTGCTGCAGCAAGTGAGGGGCAAGGCATAAGTGCCATCCTGCCCAACATAGGTGGCAAGGAGTGAAGGTAACAGTTATTTCTCCCTTGCCTATGTTACTACATGGCAGACAAGTGGCAGGGCCAGCTCTTCCATGCTCTTACCCTTGGGGCCAACTCAGCCCTACAACCCCTGTCACCAGGGGTCAATTCAATTATGCTGCCTAGGTGAAGTGCAGGGCCTGCTCTCCCGAGTGCTGCAGCTGGTGGGGGGAAGGGACAACTCTCCTGCTTTCATGACCCCAGAGTCAGGTCTACCATCTGCCACAGGTGATGAAGGACAAGGTATCTCTCCTTCACCCACATTGTCACACAGAAGACGAATGATAGGACCAGCTGTCCCCCACTTGTATCTTGGGGGGACAGGGCTCACTCACAACTCCTCAAATGTGTGGGGCTCACTCTCCTGAGCACCGTAGCTGGCTAGGGGGCTGGAGTCAGCACTCCTGCTCTCATGCCTCCAGGGCCAGCTCTCTCACTGCTCAGATAAGGGGTGGGGCAGTACAGCACAGCCCTCAGATAGTAATATGTCACTGGACAGCAGCCCAGACCAGGAACATCTGATTTTTGGTGGTAACAGACCCCTGCTGCTGTAGAGCCACAGACTCAGATGTGGTCCCTGGTGGCAGCACAGGCCAGGATCCCAATGTAGTAGGTAGTTTTTCCTCCTGTCCCTTAGGCTTTAAGGATAATGACTCATTATATATTATTCAAATATCCAGGCCATATAGCTAGGGTCTTCTCTGACTAGCTCATAACTTAAAATAACCCATTTAACTAATGTACATTTTGCCATGTGGCTGGCTATCTGAGCTCAGGTACCATGTGTCCATCTTCCTCACATTCTACCAGCTGAATGTTGTGTGTCTGGCTCTATCCCAGAATCCTTTTTGCCTATCAGATGTTTCACCTCCTGCTTCCTGCCTAAGCTATAGGCCAGAGGTTGTTTAATTGACAGGTGTTGCACCCATACAATACATAGACATACAATACAGAGATTCCTTCTACATCCCACCATGGTCCCAAGAGGCATCACTGGCTACTGACATCAGGCTTTTCCTCACTACCCTTGAATCTGCAGTTCTGCCTCTCTTCATAGGGTCCACATCCTCCTGTTTTTCTTTCTCTTCGATTTCTCCACCAGTTACTTGCTCTTCTTAGTGGTGCCTGGGGTCTCTGAATGTCTGGGGTCATCTCAGGAGTGGTCTCAGGAATGCTATGCCTCACTTGTGCATTATGGCAGGGGGCAGGGGTCATTTGGGGCATGGTCTGCCCCCATTCCTCAGGCATGTGTGGCAACTTCACTCCTTGCCTGATCCACATGAAGGTGATCATCTTTCTTGAGCTCACTCCTGGTGCCTTTAGTCCTAGGTGGGGTTCTTGTAGTCTCTGGCTTGCTCCCAGTCATAGGAGTCGTTTGGGTCTGTGTGGTGCCAGACGGGTGGTCATCTCAGGCTAGCTTTTTTCAGGGACTGTTAGGTTTCTAATCTTTCAGATGTTCATAGGCCAGAACATGGAGCATAGACATAGCCTCTCTCTGACACCTTCTGATGCACGTGTGACACAGCAGCCACACCTGCAACACTTCTAGGGGCAGGTCTTTTCAGTAATTTTTAAATACTTAGTTTTTAGGTCACTCTGGACTTGAAGCTGCTAATAAAAACTTGAGAGGGCCTGAAGAAACACTTTAAGCCTTATTTTTTGTAATTTTTTTTCAAAATTTCTACAGTGGGCTGTCCCATTCATGACTTTTTTTTTTTTTATAAACATAAAGGTTTATACAATTTATGTAAATTAAGATGCTGTTTAGTACATTACTGATCAACACTGCTAAAAATGTATGATCTTTTCTTCTACATGTTAAAGAGCCATAAACATTCAGTAGATCATATTCCTGAAAGTTTAAGTTAATTCTGGTTAAAAAATGATAGCTGATTGTAACTGTACTATTCACTTCATCTAGATGGATGTCTTTTAGGTGATACATATAATGCTGACCCTGTGTTATTTATCAGTGGAATAAATGTATGGGACATACCACAGGACTGAGTAATAACATATATACTAGGAAATGTTCTGATCTCTCTCTCTCTGTGTATATATATATGTATATAATGTGTATGTATATGATGTATGATGTATATATCTTTTCACACCATGGACTCAGAACCACAGTAAACTCAGTATCTTTGTGTTACCCACAAACACCATTGCATGTGTGATGCAAATTACATTGTATTGACTGGTTTTGTGTGTCAACTTGACATAAGCTAGAGTTATCAGAGAGAAAGTAGCTTTAGTTGAGAAAATTCCTCCATGAGATCCAGATGTAAGGCATTTTCTCAATGGCAGAGGGCACATCCCATTGTGGGTGATGCCATCACTAGGCTGGTAGTGCTGGATTCTATAAGAAAACAGGTTGAGCAAGCCGTGTTGAGACAAGCCAGTAAGCAGCACCCCTCTGTGGCTTCTTCATCAGCTCATGCTTCCAGGCTCCTGCTCCATTTGAGTTCCTGTCCTGACTTTCTTTGTTGATGAACATCAATATTGAAGTGTAAGCCAAATAAACCCTTTTCTCCCCAACTTGCCTTTTGGCCATAATGTTTCATTGCAGCAATAGAGACCCTAATTAAGCACCTATATTAACACAGTGCAAGACTTATAATTTATTTTTTTATGTTCTCTTAATCTGATTCCATTAACCCTTTAAAGAAAACCTTGGCTTTTATATAAGAACCAACACATTTTCTTAGAATGTTTCTTCACTGATCTGTAATCATCTTTCCAAAAATCTTGAACTCCTTTTTTTTGAAATTTTAATTTAGGAGCTATATTTGTGAGTTCCTTTTGCAAATTAGGTTGAGTCATTTAAAATGTCATTGCCTCTAGGTTATTTCAGTGAACATAGGGATGAACAACTATATTATTTACACTAGTAACCATTAATTCCTGTGTTGAATACATACTGCATAGTCAGTATACAGTCTGTTATAGAATAATGCTAATTCAGGTATGGGCCAATTGTTAAGTGCATTTGAAAGGATGCTTTTCAAATGCTCTTCAGATTTTGAAATCCCAGCACACTCAGTAAAAGCATAGACTTTATGAAAATCAGTATGGCTCAAAACCCTTTTCAAGAAAACTTGATTATAAAATTGTGATTATATATAATATTAAAGGAAAATAAACATTTCAGATGCTTTAGAATCAACTAAGTACTTCTTTAAAAAATTTAAGTAACTTGCAGTTTCTTAATCATCTAAGATATTTCTGTGAAACTTTTTCACTTAGATAGTCATCAAAGTTTTCTACTTTGATTTTCTTAGGCAAAGTGAAATATTTCATTTTTCCTGATTCCTGTAAGGATGCCTGGGTCTTTGGGATTGTCTTTTTGTCAGCAATTGTATATGAGACACAACAACCAGTTATAGGGTGAGATAATCAAGTGTTTCCCATAAACCTTCCCCCGTTTCAAGGAGAAATATGAGGGTCAAGTTCCAAATGGTGAAGGTATGAGAACTCGGAGTTACTCTCTGTGTCTTTCCTTTACCAACTGGGGGAACAAGGTACAAAAAAGCTAACTAAACCATATGGTATTATGATATTTCTTTATACTTTGACATTGTTAGATATCACCATTGGCATTTATTTCCATGTGAAAATAACTTTTAAATTCCTGTCTTTTCTCAAATAAAATAAAAAAGCGAACATGATAAGTGTACAGTAAATAGATGGGGTGGAATACACATCCAGCTGTACTCAGAGACTTGAAGGAAAACAGAGAGCTGCCTTCTATGAGTGCATGGTGGTACATTTGAATACTTTGGATCTGTGATTCAATGAAGGAGCCTTTGGTAAGATGAACTAGAGTGCACTGATTCACTAAAATGGATTTTCCTCACTATGTAGGGATAGGGCTGGAGAAAGCAGGAGATCCACAGCAAGAGGAAAAGGAAGAAAAGCTGGATCACATCAGTAGGGTCTCCAACAAGCAAAAGTCAAGCTTATATCCTACAAAGGATAATTGGGTTAATACAGTACCAGTAGTAGAAGAAATTTGTCAGTAAGTAACAGCAACCCCAGTGGCCCCAGCAGCAGCCCCAGTAACCCCAGAAGCCCCAGCAGCTACACAGTCTCCCACAGACGTGCATGAACACTGAAGCTGGCTGGCCCAAGCTGAGGCTCTGGGTTGTTGACCCCACAACCCAAAGGACCACTCAAAGGAGCTCCTTTAGGTACACCAAAGCACCAAGTGACAGGCAGGGCTACAGCCCCAGAGGAAGCCTGGAAATCATTTTTGTGGGAATTACCTGTGTCTCCAGCCTGGATTTATCTAGAGAAAAGTGCTATTTTGTATACATTCATTCTCCAGACTCTATTTGCCTCAGTCTTTCCCCTTCCACAAGGTTGTTTTCTTTTTAAGATGGCTTTATGTTAAAGAGAGAGGAGGGGTGAGGGGGAGAGAAAGAGACTTAGAATTTCTCTCCGTTGAGATCTGACACATTCTGAGGTTGTCTGGGCTGGTTCTTCCAAGAGAGCTAGACCTTCTTCATTCTGTGAGCAGACAGGTCTCAGGTTCCAGGGTCTCCTAAGTCTGTGATAGGCAGCCTACTGAAGAGGTTCATATGGAGCCTAGTAATAAAGAACAGACCTTGGGTTTGTAACACCTACCCAGGGATGTTTCTCCATTTCAGCCCATGTGCTATACAAGGCTATACTTCAGACAGCACTGCAGTTGGTCACCAGAGCCCACGCCTGGCCTCTTTGCTAGCAACTGTGGGCAATAGGGGCCTCAATGAAACGTCACTGAACTTTGCAAAGTACACACAGTTTAAGGCCTCAACTATCCCTCAGTTTTCCCCCAACCCCAGATTCAGAAGGCTGCTAAGGGGTTATTTAATTAACTTTTAGTTGGCTTTTCCTCATCCCCACCAGAATATATTGTCCTGTCATTTCCCAGAAGGACATATGAATCATTAAAATTATTAAGCCCTGCCATTTGTAACCCTGAGGAGGTTAAGAATAGGACACAACTAAGATTACTAAACAAATATCTGCTGAATCTTGTCTCAGGCAGAGCAATGTTCACCCTGTTCCTCCATCCAACCAGAGAATCCTAGAGCCTGGCTGTAACTAGCTTGGATGCTAGGGTTTATATCAGACAGGATATAGGCTCTCAGGTTAAGGCATGAGACCTGAGAAACTTTTTCTATTTTATATCATCTTAGTTATTAAAATGTGAACATTCATAAAATGGGATAACTAATTTCAATAAAATACACTGCTGCCAGCTTGAGTACAGTGGCACATGCCTATAATCCCAGCACTCAGGGAGACAGAGGCAGGAAGATCTCTGTGAATTTGAGGACAGCCTGCTATCCAAAGCGAGTCTAGGACAGACAAGGCTACACAGAGAAACCCTGTCTTGAGAAAGCAAATATACATATACATACATAAATCACATACATACACAAACACAAACACACTCACTGCCTCATAGAAGATATCTTGATCTCTATCTGTGTGCCAAACAACAGGAACAGGATGTTGTAATTATCTGATGTGTTTGGGGTATTTCTAGTACTTCCATGAAGGATCCCAATAATGGCCCAGTAATAGTAACTATATCTTGAAACCTTATTCTTCTAAAAGAGTGTTTGGCATTTCTCAAAGGCTTTTTTTTTTCTATGAAAGAGGTTTATTAGGTGGATATGAAAAGAGAGGGAGAGCAGGACATGATGGGGGGAGAGAGAGAGGGAAAGAGAGAGAAGGGGAAGAGAGAGGGGGCGCCCCTCTCAAAGGCTTCTTTTACCAAGTGTCATTCCTGATATTTCTGTTGTAACCCTCACTGACCACAGATAATATGGCATCATATTTATTGTCAAATTTTTTCTTAAATTTCAGGATATTATTGTTCCCAAAATTATAAATATGTAATTTGATCCATTTTTGCCATGTCATATTAGAACCATGACAGTTGAACAACACATTATGTATTGGGACTCCCTTTCAATTATTTGACTATAACCTTCTTACAGATTGAATGAAGATTGTAGAGACAAAAACAAAGCATTCAATTTATAAGAACTATAGAAAAAAGATGCAAAAACTGGAGGAAAGGTGTGCATGGGCAGAAAGAACCACAGGCTCAACATGCCCTGTTTATAATCCTTATGTGACTTCCCAAATGTTACTAAACTTAAGTAACTCAGCGTAACTTAAAAGCCTAGCAGGTGAGCTCACACGGGACGGGAGAAAAGGAGAAACACAAACTCCATACTTAACACAGCTCCAGAATTTACAATTAAGTATGATTTACTGAGAAACAAGGAGAGAAAAGAAAAAAGGGGACGAATATGAACCGTATTTTGGTTTTCTTTAGTATGTCAAAATTACAACTTTTTTTTTTAAACACCTGTGACAATGTTGTTGTCATTGGGAGTTGACAGAGTGAAGGATCTTACTGTGATATTTAGCAAAAGAAAGAAAGGGTAGTTTTAGTTGTAGAAGTTTGAAAACATTAAAAACTCTTTAAAAAGAGGCATGGAAAATGTGGTTTTGATGGAATATAATGTCAAAGTGCTTTTCTAGTAAAACA